ACACACGGGTTTGATTGCATCCTTACACACGGGTTTGATTGCATCCTTACACACGGGTTTGGACATCCTTACATACACTTATCCTCTCACTTTCCACTTTTCTCTTCACTTCGAGAATTCTTACTTGTCTATTATCTTCTTTATCTTTACATTTCTGTCACGTGTTACCTCCCTTATTCTATTATTTCTCTTTTTTGCTTCAATTTAATTCAAAAACTTTAAAATAAACTACTATACCCATTTTCCAGAGAATATCTTCATTTTCATTGACCTCCCATTAATCTCCTCTACAAAGATGCTATCATCGCCATTTTCACATATTTTACTATTCCTCCTCCAATGAACTCCTCCATCATGCTCTCCCTCCTCATAGTCTTCTCTATGATGATATATCTTCCCTTCCCTCTTACTATATACACTATCACATCCTCTCCTTTCTAGCTTGAATTTTTTCGAAAATTAACCCTTTAGCCTACTTGGCAAGTGCTTTCTTTTTTTTTTGTGTTCGATTCTGTCAAAAATCATATTTCTGTAATCACTTTTTCTGTCACTTTTTCTGTCTCTCTTATGACTACACATTCCTTTCTCTCCTTACCGTTCATCAATATATCCACCCTACCTCCTCTTGAAATGTTATCTTGACATCATTTTTTTTTCCAGTCAATTCTACAAAGACTTCCCCTTTTCATCTTTCTCATATACTATTTTCGTATCTACTTCTTCTCTCTTCTATACACTTTAGCCATTGCCCAGGTGTTTGCTTCGAGTCCACATATCTTCATGGTGTGGGTAATGTCATTCCCCACCACTGTTATAGATTGACCAACCTTTTTTCTTTGTTCATGCTCATCAATGCATTTTTTTTTCACATCTATTTACTTACCCTTAGATTGATTCAATTTTATATTTTCCATATGTATTTTCAAGTTTGACGTTCTCAAAAACAAATCCATATCTCCAACCAACACGGACGACTCGTGTATACCATCAATTACGCTTTCTGGCGGGTACGCTGCTTTTGGTTCCACCATCTCTCCCACTGTGATTCTGTTTTTATCCGCTTGTCTATGACACTCTATTGCTTCTAAATACCCCGTCCCTAACCGCGCACCCCTCTCTGAAACCTCTACCAATATATTTTCTTTTACTTCGAGATTCATCTCCTTCTCCTTCCGCTTGATAATACTTATCAAGATATCCCTCACCCCTTCGTATAACAGCGGCACTTTATAAAATTTTCCAATTAAAAAATTATCCAATAATGTTGGCGCAATGGCCCACTTATTTCCAACTTGTCCAGTATACAAAAAGTCACAAAAAGCCCTTATAGTAGGAGTGGGAAAGGGGATATAAAGTTTCCTTGGGATCAACGCCGGCTCCATCACGTATTCTGCAAATTTGTTCTCTTCAGTAAGGCTGTTTGTAGAGCTAGACCTGCTGTACAGCAACGAGTCAACTAATGATGCTCTCGGTGACGCTTTAGGTGACTTGACTGGAATGTTCCTCAATGCAGATAATGTATGCAGCAATGATGCCCTCGGCGAGGATGTCCTATACGACGTCGGCGCCGACGGTACTGGCGGTACCGGGTCTGTGGGCATGGGCAACTGTGGTGGGAGTGGAACATCCTTCAACTGATTGTTGATCATTTCTTGGAGTGGCGCGCTAGGTTCTGACTCAATCTCCTCATTCTGGAATGGTATTCGAAATTGCGGTGTGCTACACGATTGAAAATCTTCCACGCTTTGCACATACCCCCTTGCAAGTATTCGAGCAAAGTATATACCCCATCTCTCTAATAGTATCTTCATCAGAACTGGAATTTTATCCCCATTACTGGACATGATTTCAAAATCAGATAAAAGTTCCCCATACCTGTCAAAGGCGTTTCTTCCTAATGTGACTGCTGACGGCGGGAACACCGATCTGATGTTGGATGATTTAGGTGCGGCATAGTGGATATAATCTTCAAAACTGACCGCGCCTTGGGAAGTGTAACTACTTTGAGACACAATTGAAGGCTTCTTGGGAGGCGGTGGTGTATAGTCAGCCATAGCCATTCAAACTCCCTTTACCCTTTGCTTTAAAGTAGTATTCCTATTTTTTTTTTTTTTTCTTTTCTTTTCTTTTCTTTTTTGATTTATTATCTTACCTTTTTTTTTTTTTCCAGGTAAATCATAGTACGATTATAGAGACTGTGCTTAAACATAGAGATACGTGATTGATAAGACCCAGGGAACACAAAAAAAACAAACAAAAAAAAAAACACTTTGGATAAAGCATTACTTAGCTAGCTCTTTACACTTAAACATCTCAACCCTACCCTATATGATCACTATATACTATATTAAACCCAAGCATTGAGTTCTCCTTACTGATAAGAATGAAATTTTGATTCTTCATGTGTATAAATTACGACTCACTTCTACCTCCTCTCAGAAACACAAAATATACAATACTTCCCTTTTAGTCGACAACATCTACAAATTAAGTAATTTAAACCTTTTTCCAGAAATTAACAAATTCCAACACAAAGTGGGGCTCATAAAGGCAAAAGAAAGAAAAAAAAAAAAAAAAAAGAGTGAGCAGCAATTAAAAGGAATCTAAGATTGCGCAAATAAGAGCAAACTTAAACTTAAAACTTATGATAGAAGCAGAATAAATTAAATAAAAAAAGATGGAAATAAAAATAATACAATCCTGAATTAAAAATCTCTGGTCCCTAATACTTCTCTATATATCAGTTTTTATAGTTATACGATGTCGGACACTGCCATTGAGACAGCGAAGCAGCCTCCACAAAGTAGGTTGAAGCAATTGGCTTCTAGGTCAAGTTGGGTTTCTCCCTTTAGAAGTCATTCAGAAGATGGAGATGTGAATGCCAAAAAAAAGGTTAATTTACATAAACAATTTAGAGAAGAAAATAAAGTAGAGAAGATTAAAGTTCCCATAAAGTTTGCTCATCATCCAACTTTGGAAGCTGAGGCTAGGAAGAAAAAACTAGAAAGCTCGAAAAAGGCGGCCAGTGCTACTGAACCTGCAAAAAAAGAGGGGGATGATAAAGTAGTTGATGAGCCAGCCATTAAAGGGGCTAAATCGGAGAATATTGTTGTTCCGTCCTCAGAACTAGAGGTTTCTGCAACTGATGTTGTTCCATCTTCAGAACTTGAGGTTTCTACAACTGATGTTGTTCCATCTCCAGAACTTGAGGTTTCTACAACTGATGTTGTTTCCTCTCCCATTGCCGATGCTGAAAATGCAGCAAACGAAAATCACCAAGAGTATGAAAATAAAATTGAGGACGCCAAAAATACAATTAGAGAGGTTAATGAGAATGCGCAAGTTCATTTAGAAGGAAACGATGACATTGAAAAGCTAATCAAAGAAAACCCAGTGGATTTGGATGTAGAGCCCAGTACAAAGTATGAACCAGTTGACTTACCAAACAGAGACATTTTGGAAAAATTAAAAGACAAACCTGTTTTGTTGCAACATTATAAAGAGCTCAATGCAACCGCTATTGGTGCTTTAGCACATGACATTGATGACCCTAAAAAAGTTATTAATTTAGGTTCTGGTTTGAGAATGACTCAAGAACAATTGATGGATATGGCAGCTAAAAGGGTTGCCCCAGTTATCACTTCCATTAACGAGGAGGTTTCCAAAACTAGACAAGAGGACGAAATCAGGAGAGAACAAGCTTTAGAAGCCAAGGTTAAAAAGCACGAAGGAAAATTGAAAAGCGATTTCGATAAACACGTGGCTCAATTGAATAAAAAGAAGGATACTTTTAATCAAGGCATTGACCGTAAATTATTGAATATTGAAAATTTGAAAAAGAGGTCTACCGACACAGCTAAAAATTTTGAAACAACAACTAAAAAGGAGATCGAAACTGCTAAGAAAGAGTTTGAAGAACGTGAAGAGAAAGCTGCTAAACAACATGTTACTGACAAAGAAAATCTCGAGAAGAACCACGAGGAGCTACTAGCCACCAAGAAGCAGGAATTGGAAGACGCAAAATTGGGACAAGAAAAAGCAACACAAGAAATTGATGAATTACAGGAGAGAAAATTAGATTTGGATAATCAAAACTCGGAATTAGCAGATGAGATTGAGAAATTATCAGCAACCTTGAATGAGAAAAATGTCCAATTAGACGAGTTGAGATCCAAGTATGAAATTCACGCTAAGGCCATTGATGCAAATTTGTCAGAATCAAAAGTCTTGGATGAGAAAATAGACTCTTATAATAATGATGTCGACAAAAAGAAGAAAGTCCATAAGGGTCTACTTGCCGAAATTGGAGTCTTGAGTGCAGCACTTGGCGCATATGCTTCAAAGTTATCCGATTTAGACTCAGACAAGAAGGAAAGAACTCAAAGGTTAGCAGATGCAAAGAGTAAGATGAGCAATTGGCAACAAGAGAAGGACAGGTTGGCCGAAGAGGCAGCTAGAGATCATGAACGTAAAAGAGCTCAAGCAACTCAAGAATACGAAACACAAAAGCATCAGGAAGAGTTGGAGAGAATAAAGCAAAAGGACAAGGAAGCGAGGCTTCGTAGAGAGGAAGAGGAAAGACAAGCAAAGTTGAAGGCCGAAGAAGAAAAGAGAATAGCAGAGGAAGAGGCAAAAAAAGCTCAATTGGAGGCCGAGAAGGAGGCAGAAGCAAAAAAGTTGAAGGAGAAGAAGCAGAAGGAGGAAGCAGTTAATGCCGAGATCAAAAAAAAGGAGGCCAACCAAAAAAGTTTAGAGGATGAAAGAAACATTCATGATAGCCTTTACGAGAAGGGCACATATGAAGGTGGGGAAGAAGCTTATCGAGCAGCCCAAAAGAACAGATTAAGAGATGAGGTTTCAAACTTGAAAAAAATAAGAGATTTGAGAGAAGAAAAAGCTACTTACACAAATGAAGATCCAAAATTAACAGAAATTGATGGTTTGATTCAAGAAAGGGAAAATGCTATTGAAAAATTGAACAAAGAGCAAGCAGAGAGTAAAAAAAAGATTGAAACTGTGCCCAAAGAAGCACTTCAGAATAAAGGAGCCATTGAAAAAAAGTCTTACGAAGAAACACCAGTTGTTAGTAATCAAAAAAAAAACAATGCCACTGCCAACGAAGCCACGGAGTCAAAGTCTGATCGCTCCAGAGCCGCCGGAGCTGCTGCTGGAGCTGCTGCCGGAGTTACTACTGGTAGTGTTTTTGCTGATGCTAAAGACCACGGGTTTGACATTCCAACTACTAATAACAACACCGCAGCAGACTACAATGTAAACAAAATAAGTCAAAACTATTCCAACAAAGAAGCCTCAGTGCCAAAGTTTGAAGACTCCGGCGCTGCTGCTGCTGATGCTAAAGACCACGGGTTTGACATTCCAACTACTAATAACAACACCGCAGCAGACTACAATGTAAACAAAATAAGTCAAAACTATTCCAACAAAGAAGCCTCAGTGCCAAAGTTTGAAGACTCCGGCGCTGCTGCTACCGGCACGACTACAACAAGTGCTCCAAAGGAGGATAAAACAGTTGGAGGTGTTAACGGCAAAGATGCAGGTTCCAAATCAAATCCTTTCCGTGGAGCAACTCATCATGATGATGCATCTTGGGATGTTCAGTCAGTATACGAAATGATCTCAGATGGGGAATTTGAATCACACAAACAGAACCCAGATTACTTTGAGATAAGTGAAGAAGAATACGACAAACATAAACAGATGGAGAAAGAAGTTACTCTTGTTGAAAAAATTGTCTAGGAAAGGAAGGAAATAAAAAACAAAAAAAAAAAAAGAAACAAATCCAAAAACCAAAACCAAAACCAAAACCAAAACCAAAAACCAAAAAAATAAATTTAAATTATCTTTATAATTCAGTCAAACGTAATCTTCTTTCCGCAAGATGGAACTATTGCAGCGCTAGCCCTTTGAGCCGATGCCAAAGCAACGGACGATTTTGGTCTCTTTTCGTTGGTCCTTTCTCTGTGCACATGTTTAACATATGGTTTCCTCACTTCTGCAAGTTCCTTGTCTCGTATTGGAACTTCTTCTTCTACAGTTTCCAGCACTTCCAAAGGTTCACGCATATGGCTCTTTGGTCTTCTCTTTGATCTGTCTTCACCATATTCCAATCTCAATTTTCTATTCAACATCATCTTTGTCAATTTCGAGTTCATTGCCGCAATCGCGCCTTCTTCATTCTTGAAATCGATAAATGCAAATCCTTTACATTTCCCCGTATCTTGAAATGTTGCCATTCGTATCTTGGAAATATCACCACAATGCCTAAAGTGCTCGTTCAAATTATCCTCCGTTACATCGAAACTTAAGTTTCCAACAAAAAGTATTCGACTTGGTGGATTTCCAGTATCTCCCGTTTTTTCAGGACGCCCTTCAAATGAAGTTGCGCTTTTTATCAACAAGTTACGTCCATTTAGGTTCGACTCACTTAGCTCAATCAATTTGTTCACTTGGTCTTCATTTTGAACATCAACATATGCAAACCCTTTAATCTGGCTTCCCTTTTTCGGAATATTCACTCGAGTTATTTCCTCTTCTTTTACTGAAGATTTTGCAGTCACAAACCTAATTAGGTCTTCTTTACTAGTATCAAAAGACAAGTTCCCAATCCAAACACCATACTTGGACTTTTCTACGGTTTCTCTCTCTGGTTTAGGTTTAGGTTCTTTGACTTCAAGTTTCCCCTTCTTAACTAAACGCTTTTGTTTCTTTGATAAAGGAACAGAAGCATTCAAGTCTATCTCTAACTCCTTCTCCTCCGGTATAGTAGCCTTCCTCTTCCTAGACGCCTCTATTTCTTCTGTCATTTCACTCCCGTTTAATGAGATGAGCTAAAAAAAAAAAAATCAAAAATATATATATATATTTATTTACTACTTTTTTTTTTTTTATTCCGAAAATGCTACCAACCAAATATATATATGGTTAATTCTTTTACTTTCTTTACTTCTTATTAATTATCATCCACAAATTCCGTCCACAACCACTTACGCCACTGTTCTCCTGCCTCGGAAATAATGTTGTCAATGAAGTTGATCTTGTGCTTATTACTTTGAGAATCATTTGATATAATGATACTGTTTGTAGGAAGTTCCTCTGTTGTCGGCAGCAGCGACACGGGAGACGTGCTAGATGAAATTGGAGTGACATCGGGGCTTATTCGCCTTCGCGGTTTGCTATTATATTCGTATGATTTTGACGGTAATCTCGATAGAAACTGCCTTATCTCATGTTGATCCAACTCAACCAATGTGTTTTCTTTTGACTTCAACAATGAGATCGAAATAAAAATAAGAGCAACATGAGGATCAATTTTTGAAAAGGGTATTGATAATGTTGGCCCTGTGGAGTCTGATCCATTGGAAGATCGACATAAATTACCTTTTGAAATGTGCAAGTTGTCATCAAGTCCATTCACCAAATCCTTAAACGAGTTTCTTCTATAGTCCATACTCGGCTTGTCATTTTGATCAGCGCCCACTGTCCAAAAAATGTCCGGCCCAAGCTTTTCCAAAGTACTCCTGCTCACATAGTTTAGCTTCCTGTAATAGTAACTAAAGCTTCTCTTTGGATTCCGAAGTCTCCATCCCATCATGAAATCCCATATACGTCCTCTGTCGTATTTGGACCAAACCTTTGTACCGCAAAACTTTAACCACCAAATCAACCATTCATCGTCCAGGTACCCGAATTTACTTAAAATTTGTTCTTCATGAAAGTATTGTGATAGTTCTGGTAGCAACTTGCGAAGGCAGAATATAAAAAATGACACTCTTTCCTCAATGGTTCCTCCGGTAACTGGTAATGTTGTTTTATTCAGCTGAAACTGCTTCTTAACTTCTTTCGACGACGACGAAAATGACGAGGAGGAGGAGGAAGATGGTGACGACGAAGACGATGACTCGGGTCCATTCGATCGAGACGGGGCTTTCTTATTTTTGGCCTCTGGTTCAGGACAATGTAACAATACCAATACGAGTCTTTCATAAACTTCATGAAAATTCATCGTTGACGACTTGTTATGAATCAAGTCCTCTAGATATACGTCTAAACCTGGCACATTATCAATATAATGCGAGTAGTCCTCTAGAATGCTATACGTCAAAGTGGTCTTTTTAGAATTTTGATCCCTCCCTACTAGAACCCATGGCGTTTGAGGTATAGGGGGAAACCATTCTGCCAAGTTGAGTGCCATCCACGATAACGACAGATCGTATTTAATGATCTTGCTCCACTTTAGCGAAAACTTAAGCACCGCACTTTCTATCACAGCAATGATTTCTTTCTCCACACCTGTTAGCTCATGTGCCAGGGACGAACCATAAATTCTTTGCACATATCTTGAAATATCTTTTTTAATATTAATTTCGGTTTCGGACGCAGTTTCGGAGTTTTTAGCTAAACCGTTTTCCTTTGCAGTAACCGAAGAAGCTTTTGAAGACGATACTGAAGACGTATCCAGATCACTACCTTCGTTTATTATATCATTATCAGGCTGAATGAAAGGGTCCAAAACAAAAGGATGATATTTTAAAAGAATTGGCCAAATCTTGAACCTCAAAAATGGTGGAACTCCTTTTTGTCGAGCCACTAAGGCCAATCCGTGATGGTTCTTGGTGTTCAAATATTGCTTGCATAGATTGAACAACTCAAGATCATAATTGAAAGACGGTTTGTAACTGTCGTGTACTGCTGCTGACTGCTGCGTCAATTGTGGCTTCTGCAATACTGGTGGCTCGCCATTGCCTAATGTCTCCCCCTTTCGCGAGCCGCTGCTATTATTGTCGCTTCTGCTGCCGCTGCCAGTGCTGCTGCCGCTGTTACTATTATTCACCACTTGAGTTGTAGAAATCGACGGAGCAATAGTTATACTTTCGATCATAGTAGAAAAAACAAAAAAACAAAAAAACAAATGAGAATCCACTAAGAACTTAGTGTAGTTTAATCACCACTCAAAATTTTGAATCCCACACGGGTTTTCCTTTACTAACGAATAAATGAACAATTCACAATTCTATAAGCTTCACGCAAGATTTTTCAAAAAAATCACACGAATATAAATCGAAAAAAAGCTCTTAATTGGTATCAAAACATGGTTTCCATCGATCTACGACGCATATACTTTGGGGGGAAAAAACCGTAAAATATGTGAAATTGAAAATAATGATGATTTTCAAGAATCCGTCTTTTTTAGCAATAGGGGAAACTGGTCTCTCACTCTCACTCTCACTCTATCACACACACTCTCTCTAAAAAGCTTTTTTGATTGAAATTGCTCTGCCAAATGGCACAAATGGGCTCTTGCAGCTTCTGAATACTTTTGTATGGTTTCAGCTGGTTAATAGAATGAATTGAACCTGAACTATCGCCGACAAAAAAAAAAAGTTGGATGCTTTTCCTTTCGATTTCTCTTTGAGAGAGTGCATGTAAATTTCTGAAAGGAAAAAAAAAAAAAAGTTTTCTTTGACTTTTTTTTCTTTTTTTTCCACAGAAACTCGGCATACAATTTTTTTGCTCTGGAGACAAGCAGCTACGGCAGGCGAGGGGGAGGGGGAGGGGGAAGGGTGAATTACTACGAAGTTGTTTCCTCCCTATATTTCTCTCCAATCCGCGGTAATACACATGGGTTTGTATCTTAATGGATGAAGGTATATTAACCTGTGTGTCAAGCATATCAATCATAATGTATTATATTATATTTTATAATAATTTACAAACTAAAATTAGCTTCTCCGTTTGTCGCTCCCTTTTCTCGCCCGCCCAATTTTTCCTTCTAAATGTAACAGGCTTCCAGTTTAATGCTTCCCATTAATTATTATTTTATTCTTTATTCTTGTGCGTGAGACTTCAGTACTAAGCCGCACGCGACTTTAACAAAAGGAGGATTTCCTTTGATAAGTAATTCCAACATTCGAGCACGTGTAATGACGAGAAATTTGCTTTAGGAACCACTTCTGGGAGGGGGAGGGGGAGGGGCAACACCCCTCGTGAATACACACTCCTTGCGTCACGTGGCAAAGTAACAGAAATTAATAAAAAAAAAAAAATTTTGGTTTTCTTTTTTTTTTAGTCCATTTTTGCAACCAAATAAGTGAAGCCCATAAGGCAAAGGATAACATTAATGATGGTTTTGGGCTGTGTCAAAGTGGCTTTGATGAATAATAACTTCCGGATACGTTGAGTACTAGTCCAACTGCATAGACCTCTCTGTTTCTGTGAATTTAAGTCATTGATTAAAACCACATTTTTATGAAGAAGTAAGTGCCAAAAAATAATAACCACTTGAGAGAAAAAGTAAAATACAGTAAAACTCTACTTGAAGGTCAATAGACCTCCTTGAAAAAGTAATACCTACCTTGTCTTGGTTTTAAAAGACATCCTCTATTGAAAGTAAGAGGGAAAAAAGCAGAAAATTTATTCACGTGACGTGCGTTCTACTTCTACTGATTAGTCTCTTTTCCCTTCCAAACCCAATCACTATATGAAAAAAAAACAACATTAGTAAATCTCAGAATCTCTTCAAGTTTTTTGTAGCTTAAAGTCAATAAACTTGAAGAGTGCTGAGAAACTTAAAAAATTGACGAGATATCAATACCTACTCAGCCGGTTGTATCAAGTCCGTTCTCTTACGAAACCGGCTCTTTTTTTTTTTTTTTTTTTTTTAACTATTGCAAATGGCGCTATCCTCCTAACGTTTTCTGCCTTTACAATTCTCAAAGTCTTGTTAATCTACTCCTAATCATCAAACGAAGAAACTTGAATTTCTTTTTTTCTCCTTTACTTTAAAGTTACAACTTATTGCTTTTCTTTTTTATTCTTTTTTTCTTTTGATTTCTTTTTTTTTTCTTACTGTAAGAAAAAGGGGATGCTTATGTAATAATATAACAATGGATTACGTAATTACAAGACTGTGAACACAAGCGTATGGCAGTGCATTATGTAAATATAGTTTCATTTCACAATTTTGTTGCTGTTTAAACGGGAAAAAGTGGTGCATTACTTGATTTAAGAGAGTGTCACTTGTTTAATTTGGTTAGTCAAAAAAAAGGAATTAGAGCTAATTAGATGAATGAGTAATAAAAGGAACTTGGAGGGTCGTAATGGTGTGCGGAGAGTAACATGGTAAAGTCCACGTTGAGACTGAAAAGTGAAAGTAGTGCAATTTTGACATGGTTTGTATTTTTATTTTCTTTTTTTCGGGAATATAAAAGGAGATTGTTTTGCCACTTTTGCTGGCAACAAATTATATCTCACCAATCCTTATATCAATTGATAACTAGTCATTAACTACACTATTTCAAATGCAAATCTTTGTCAAGACATTAACAGGTAAAACAATCACATTAGAAGTTGAGTCATCAGACACAATTGACAATGTCAAGTCCAAGATCCAGGATAAGGAAGGTATTCCACCAGACCAGCAGAGATTGATTTTCGCAGGTAAGCAATTGGAAGATGGCAGAACATTGTCAGACTACAATATCCAAAAGGAGTCTACATTACACTTGGTGTTGAGATTGAGAGGTGGTATGCAAATCTTTGTCAAGACATTAACAGGTAAAACAATCACATTAGAAGTTGAGTCATCAGACACAATTGACAATGTCAAGTCCAAGATCCAGGATAAGGAAGGTATTCCACCAGACCAGCAGAGATTGATTTTCGCAGGTAAGCAATTGGAAGATGGCAGAACATTGTCAGACTACAATATCCAAAAGGAGTCTACATTACACTTGGTGTTGAGATTGAGAGGTGGTATGCAAATCTTTGTCAAGACATTAACAGGTAAAACAATCACATTAGAAGTTGAGTCATCAGACACAATTGACAATGTCAAGTCCAAGATCCAGGATAAGGAAGGTATTCCACCAGACCAGCAGAGATTGATTTTCGCAGGTAAGCAATTGGAAGATGGCAGAACATTGTCAGACTACAATATCCAAAAGGAGTCTACATTACACTTGGTGTTGAGATTGAGAGGTGGTTCTGAATAAGAAAAAGGGTCTATAATTTTTTATTTTTTTAATTTCAAGTTCCTACTTAGTTAAACAAGCTTGTTCTCTCTATTTCGACTTTAATTATATTTGACTCTTCCTTGGCCTTGTATTTGGACAATCGTTCACAAATCAAGGCTTTTGAGTTCTCCAACTTTATTAAACCATGCAATTCTTTAGATAACCTGATGAACTCTATCTTAACAGCCTCTAACTCTTCAACTTTCAAAGAATGGTCAGCTAAAAAGCACCACATTTGAATTAACTCACCTTCTATTTCGGGTGGTAATTCCCGTAATTCCTTTACAGCACGTCTCAACAACTCAGAAGTTTTCAACTTTGTTCTCCAACTAGGGAACAACTCAGGGTCAAACAACTGCTTCATTTGCATTAAAAGAAATCGCAACAATCTATAATTCTTTTCTTCACCCACGGCTGCAGCAGTTCCCAAATCTTGCAACAACTCAATTCGTCTCTCCTCAGCAAATGTATTTGTATTTGTTGATTTTTTGTTGTCCTCGGTGTCGACCATTTCTTCATCACTGTCGTCGTCGTCGTCAACATCATCTCTCTTTTTTATTGCACGGTGAAAAATCTCTTCAAATACATGCATGTATACATCAATTACCCTCTCGCTCTGAATAGCTTGTATGAATGTTCCAGCACCCTTGATCGCTAATCGTTGATACTTCTTGTTTCTCCTTTTGATCTCCGTAATAACTGTATCTTCAACGGCCTTAAAAACATTTTCAAGCGACATCAAGCAAGGTTTTGACAAAACTGAGAAATCCACCAAAGCCTGAAATAAAAACTCTTTCCCGTCCCAGGACTTGCCCTTATTCGCATCAACTAGCAAGTTCAAAACGCTTTCAATACTCTTCTCAGAAAAGTGATTAATGTCCTGATACCCTGCACAAAAGCTTGATAAAGCTTTAGCCAAACTAACTCTGATTATAAACTCATTACTTTTCAAATAATCTCGTTCAAACATTAAAATTTCAGACGAATATAATTTAATCGCCGAGGCTCCACTTGCATGCTCGGTCCATACTTTATCGAAATTCGACCCAATGCGTTTGTTACTATCAAATTTACCAATAAACGCCAAGGGCAAAAAAGCAGACGCAACCACACTAAAGCGATCACCGGCATATTTGGACACACACTCGCTGGCAATTGAGGCTACATATCTTGATCTTTCATCACCAATTTCTTTGGGTTGGAAATACATCCTTGTAATCTTATCAGAATAACTGATTATTGAGTCTACGGGAGCTATTCGACAAACATATCCAGCAGCAGCAGCATAGCATGTTACCACTGTCTCATTCCGATCTTTAATCTGACTCAAAGCTATTTCCAATAATTTCTGACCATATGGTTTTACAAGCTCCCCATAACTCGTGACCAATAAAATAAGCACCTTGGACCCGCTTACTTTTGAAGGCAACCCCACGCTATATTTCACGGCGTGACTCAACTTTGGTAAAAAACTTGGCATCGTTGCTTCATCCAACTGAGTTAGTAAAAAATCAATGGCATCCATCAACAGAGAATTCCCAACGCTTTTTAATCTCTTTGTGTCAAACTCATTATTATCAATATTATACTTCCCAGCATTAAGAGCCAAGTAGTTGACAATCTCTGGCTCCAAGGTTGAAAACAATAAAATGAAATTTTCAATTAGCAAAGGTATATAGGGCTTCAACATTTTGCTCTTGGTCTTACAAAGCTTGAGCAAAGTGTTGATGGAGAATTCCCTAATACTTTCAGAGTCCGAATTAAGACCCTTGTTACCTAGTAAAAACTCTAGCAAGTTCCCCAACAAAACAGAGTCTTCTTGAACACTTTGAGTTCCATTTCCATTTCCATTTCCACTTCCACTTCCACTTTCTACTTTTCTTTGTTGTTTCTCTAATCTTCGAATCAAATTTGTGGCAAGTGACTTTGTTAGCTTTGATCCTTCCTTTCGAACACTCTCCTTGACGTCATCCATTACACGAAAACTCATACTCCAGATATCATCCAATTTGGCCTCATACTTTTGGTATTCAACAACTTGCAAAAGATCGCTCATAGCAGTCGCACTAGCTTGACGTGTTCTCCATTCTCTATTTCCCATGCCATTCAATAGCTCTTTCAAAAACGTGTCAAAATTGCGCTTGATTACCTGGTTGGCATCTTTGACCAATGCATTCCAGATAACTTCCATCGACTGGGATACGCTACTAAAGGGATCAAAACGGTACCTGTAAAGTTTTGGTAAAAGCAGCTTCGCCAAATTTTCATTTTTCAGCAACAATTCGTCCAACGAAGACTGGACAAGTATAGTTTCCAAGCCAAAAGCAATACCTCTTCTTGAATTCCACAATGTAGACGATTTAGCTATTGACATAAACTTGTAAACAAGACTCGGGTCTCCTACGTCCTGAGCTAAATTCAACACGTCCTTGTATGTGGAGACGGAGGAACCCTCATTGGTTTTCAAAACATTTGGTTCAAAAAGTTGGGTACCTCCTTCAATACTACCTGCAGTGTAGTTGGAAGTATCTGATTGAGTAAATGATTTCAACAACGACTTAACAAGATTATCCTTCAAGTATGCATCACCCAAGTCGTATATTATTCCTAATCCGCTAGAAGCTGCGTCCTGAACTAGTTCATCTTTATCGGCAAGAAATACCATAAAGCACGTTTGAATTTCTAATGCCTTTTCTTTAATAAGGGGGTCATTTCCACAATTTTGAACAATCAGAAGAAGCCAAAGACATCCAGCTTTACGAAGTGACGGCTTTGTATTCTTACATGCTGCAAGTATAGATTCCAAAAGAACTGGTAACCTAGACGTATCATTATCATTATCATTATCATTATCATTATCATTATCATTACCATTATTATTAATGATGGTAGTGCTCGTTGGTATATCCTGCTCAAGCTTGAGCAGCTTGGAATCCCAGCCAGCTGCTGCAAAAGAAAATGCTTCTCCAGCCGCAAAAATAGATTCAATGTCTTTGGAATTGTGGTAGTTGAAAATGGTCTTTTCATCATCTGTCAAATTATTGTTGACTTCAGGTCTCTTTGTCAAGGTTAATTGGCCCAATAACAAAACCGATTTCTCGTCGAAATTCTTGAGGTTGCTCTTGATCTTTGATTTGACTCTCTCAACAAAATCTTGGCCTCTATTTGGATTCAAAACGCCAAAAAGTGCTAGCTGCGAAATCCCGTTGACTGCTGAGTAAAAGTCTCTCAGACTATCCATCATAGTTTCAAGCTCAGAAAACAATGCATGTAACAGTGTTTCTGAAACCAAACTCAATCTACCCCTTGCTGATAACCTCGAGATTAAAAAGCACTTGAAAAGTACCGATATCACACGGTTACTAAACGAATCAAATACATCAATCAATCTGAGGACTTTGCCATCCTCATTGGAAAAATGACTGCTAATAATTCCAACGATTTTGCAGATATGCAAAATGGTATTATCGTCAAATTGCTGCCCAATTAGCTCTTTTACGATTTCCTCCATTTCGCCCAGCAACGCTGCTATAGTGTTTGACGAAGCAAAGGATAATATCCTGGAGACAACAACAACAGCAGCATCAGCAGCAGCAACAGTAGAATGCTGTCTACTCCCCACCTTTAGCAATCCAACGCCAATCCTCAAAAATCTAACAATACTATCTTGCAAACTTTGTTCTTCCAACTTTTTCTGTAATAGTTCCCTGACTTTTAAATTTGATTCTAAAGCCTTTTCTATTCTCAACGACCAGTTCTGGTCAATAGCAATCACAGTTTGGTCATTCGAAACAGATTCCATTACCAATAGTTGCTGTCCAAACTCAATTGCTCGCGGCAATGTCACATGTATACTCGCATCTGGAATACCATTTGCGCGATTAAGTTCTTCATCAAGTTGCTTTACAAAGTCGGTAAACAGTGGAAATCGATAACTTGTCTTTTTCCTTATAAGCTGGTTCGATTTATTCAACTCAAACCAATACGGGTGTAATCCTTTGCGAGACTCCTCGTTTGTTTCTGAACCAAATTCAGGCGCGGTACTCATTATACAAAGAATTCTTGCTGCAGCATCATCAAATGGGAATGAAGAGTTGATAAACTTCACTAATATGTATCTCGAAGCGCTTGTAGAAGTCAGATCAATTCGAGCTAAGGATCTCCAAGCCAAAGACTTTAACTCAAGTTTGTTGTTTGCACTGAGTTTTTCAAGGTGCACAGTCAATCCGGATAAAATATTTCGCAAACTAATCTTCACTTCAACATCTTCGTCTTCAATTGCTTGCAACAAGAACGGAATATAAGACCAATCAGATATAACGATTTCGGGTGATGCTTGTAATATGGTTCCCAATATTTCATACTGGGACTCTCTTTCACGTGTCCTTGGAGCGTGGTGATTTATATGATCATTCAAGGTAGAGTTGTCGTCGTCGCGACGACTCGTGCTTGATAGTTGTTTTCTAATGGCACCTGCCACTTCATTTGAAAAAGCTAAAAATCCTTCGTCTCCCTTCTTCAGTGACTCTGCTAGTTTAAATATTAAATTTGTTGCCAAGCCTCTCAATTTCTTCAGTTCCGAATTAAGTGCATCAGTGACTGTACCAATAAATGAAGGATGAAATGAAAGAGATTTGATTTTTGCCAAAAGAAGCATGATACTCAGCTTAAGATTCAAAACAAACGGGGATCCACCTCTGAGACTTGAATACAACTCAATAATGTAATCAACCAATTTCTCTTGGTTCCATAGTATTATAACACTACCACTACTACCACCATCAAAATCAACTGTTGATGCTTTTAAATATTTGGTATACTCGTCATTAGTATTGATAAAAGGATCTGCAGAAGCCATAAGAAATGGCAAGATACGTTGCTCATCATTAAAAAAGCCAGACTTTAGAAATTCAAGCAAATCAAGCTTGACCTTGGCAAGTTCCATACTGTTTTGATAAGTCACGCCAGCTTCGCTCGTAAAAAAAGAGAAATCTTCATTGGTTAAACCCTGCTCTATACTTATGGTTACATCAAGCGTCAATCTTAAAAATTGACTAATCTTAAAAACCAAATAGACCTTAGCTTCCGGGGGCAAATCTTTTTCTTCAAATTCGTTTGAGTAGTCCTTAACTGCTGATGATTTCCAAGATCTGATCAGCCTACATAGGATGTTAAACATCCTTGCTGCTATAGGAAGTGGAAGTGTCCATATCTTTCCCACAATTGAAGGAACCAACGACCATCTTTCCCTTTCCTCCAACCTGTCTATGCCCCTAGCTAAAAACAAGGCAGAATACAATCTCACTGAAGTTGAGTAAGAAGAAAACTGACTCTCACCTATCGCGGGTTCATAAACTTGTTTAACTAGGGCTTCAACTGGTAATTTAAGATATCGTGCCGAGGTTATTCTTGGTATTATATGCTGTATGATTTTCAAAACCAACAGCCGCACCTCAGCATTAGGACTAGCTAGTTTCAATAAAACAGGCGCCAAATATAGCTTCAACGTGTTCTCCAACTGAACATCTTCCTCTGCCAATGCTATCTTCAACTCTACTCTGTTCAATAAAGCCAATTCATGATCTGCCATCTCTCTCTTTTCTTTTTCAAAGGTGGCAAAGAGGAAAAAATGCCTTGGCTACATTTTTCAGTCCTTCATAATTTTTTTCTATTCGTTTTGTCTTTTTCGCAGTCAAAATAAAAAATTGAAGCCAAGCTCTCTCAATTTTAGAGAAGAAATGAATGACAAAATTGTTACCAATATCCCCCCCCCCCCCCCCCCCCCCCCCCCCCCCCCGTTGGGCTATACCACTATGTACTTTTATACTCTCTTAATATAACCGGTACTGAAGATGGCGGTAACGATCCAACCTCTGTGACTACCTTATTGATATACTCTGGAGGCGTAAGATCATACATGATATTCAACACATTTAACCCAGATATATTTTTCCAATTTTTCAATGGCGCATCTTTCTCCTCTGTATCAGAAACCTGAGAAGCTCCTTTCCCTGTCCCAGCTGTTTGGTTGAGAAACTGCTCAAGAGCAAATGATTTCTTTTCGGGCGGTTGCATTGAATTGTTGTTTGTTATCAAATCCTCAGGATCAGCAAGCTCATTATTAGTTACCGAATCTAACTGCACCTTATCTGAAAACTTGATTGATTCACAACAGGTCAACACTGGGATATTGCGTCTGTGACACATCATGGCAATCAAAGCTGTTCCTACTCGCGCAAATAGCCTTCCGTTGGATAGCATGGCATGTGCACCCAAGAATACACAGTCAACGTCTTCTAGTAGTGTTGATGACAATGAGTTGAGAAGCACATACTGAACACTGATGTGGCTCTTTGTTATGGGTATGCCATTGTAATCCAGCGTTTCTCCTAATTCTTTATTTATCAAGTTTCTCAACAATTTTTTACCTTCAAATAGCGGCCTGCTATCGACAATGATTAAATTAAATTTCTTGCCTTGTTCAACGAAGCAATACTCAAACAACTCCTCTAAAACTTGAGAATGGCCATAGGTGAGTATCGTAGAACCTGAAACCACGTGCTTGGATGCATTTTCAACAATCAAGCGGTCCGATAGTTCTATTTTCTCCTTTATAAAATCGTCTATTTTCTGACATAAAATCTCCTTAGCTTTAGCCTCCGATGTATCAATTGACACATGAGATATTTCCTGCTTGAGCCATCTTATCGCATTGCCCATTGACACGGACAATGGTCGACCTGACTTGAGGTACTCAATCTGGTGAGAAAGAAGTCCAGTGAGGTGTCTTGCCAAAGTCATATTCTGAGGCGTGACGTAATCTCGAATAACTTGTTTAAATACAAGTAACATGTTGGTTAGTCTTGCTACAGACCCAACAATACTATAGCTCGAGTATTTTAGCGTTAATGACAAAATGGCGGGATGGACCACATGCGATATAGTTGGCGAAGACGCATTCCTTTGCTCTCTAGTTTCCAAGTGTCCAAACAAATGAGGAACTTTCTTATCACCTTTGATTCTCGTTTGATTCAATTGCTTTTTCAAATTCGACGCCGTTGCTGTTGCTCCTGTTGTCCCTGCAGCAGCAGCAGTAGCGGCTGCTTTTTGTTTCTTCTTCTCGGTCATCTGCTCTTGTTGTTCTATGCTAATCCCACTCGCTTCCTTCCGCGCTGCTCGTTTCGCAGCTTTTTCCTTCTTCTTCAACTCTTTCAACTCCTTGTTTGAAAGCTTCTTTTCCTCATCTTCAACAACTTTTGATACCGCAACTGTGCCACTGGCACTCTTCAGATCCTTTGTAGTATCTTCCATAGAACTTGCTTTATGTGAAAAAGAGTAGGGTTTTTCAAGATTTTATAGGTATTTTTTCATTTTTTTTTTTTTTTTCGCATCTAATAATACAAACAGTTTTTTTTTCCTTCTAATATGGTGCTAGACTTGTCAGTAGAATACTAGATGGTACCGTTGATTTAGGAGTTCCTGATGTCTACAATATAGAATTTATAATTTGAGATTATAATAATACAAGAGCAATATCATCTTTGTTTCCATTAATTTTATTACCTTTATTCTATATAAAAAAATATCGAGGTATACAGAAACCAAGGCATTTTGCTTATTCTAAATGATTCAACACATAAACATAGACCTTTTACAGATCTCAGTACCCTAGTTCTCTAAGAAAAGTATAATAACTAATTGTCTTAAAAACCACACCACACACACACACACACACACACACCCTCTCTCTCTCTGACGACCCTTAAATACTCTGATTACGTTTAGTTGTATCATACAATCTAACCACCTTATCTTGGTCCTGACCCTCGGCTTGCGAAAAAGCATACCCTCTTTGCTTCTTGATTCTTTGCACTTGCCTAACTTTCCTAATTGCCTTTTGGAACTGTTCAATTCTTGGTCTATGGTCTTGAATATTGTACTTTTGAATCTCTTGCACATAGTGATAACTCTCTGGAGTATAGCTTCTCTTGAAGTACTTCCAAGCAAAGTCACGCAATAAGCATAGTATGGGAACTCCAAAAACCATTGTCCAAAAAGTAAGTGACGGGTACGTTGCATTGAGAACTCCCCTGAACTCATCTGAAACATTGATTAATGGCGCAATCGTTGCATATGCTGGATACCAACATAACCAAAGAATAAATGAACCAGGAATTGCAATTACAGTGAATTTGGTCCACAAGGTGACAACTAAAGCCGCTTTTCCCAATGCTGTTAACGTACACGTTGTATAAACTGCAACACCCCATGCCCAGTTATCAGTTGTCAATCCACTGGACAAAACGTTTCCATATCTGTATATGAAAAACGAACACAAAAATATAACCGCAGAATGGTAGAAGCCATTCATTATCCAACTCCAAAAAACTGTAACGTTGAAGAATTTCCTTTGTTGTCCTAGTTGATACAACTGCGGATACCGATCTAGTAACCGCGCGTTAACAAATTGGTCAAAAATTCCCAAAACGATTGGTGGTAACACTGTAAAGAGGACATTGTAAAACGTTAATGTCCATGACTCAACTATCGATTGTCCAGAGAACCCATTCGCAAAAACAAACCAAAACTGTGTCATGTACAAGGTAATGTTTTTGTAGAATGAGTACAAGATGGCATTAGATATTCGCTGATATGACCACGAGCCATGCACAAGAAGCAATTTTCTTAGATATTTAAATTGCCCGATTGAAATGTCTGCACTTCGAGCAGCCTGCATTCCTTCCATACCGCTAATCCCAACACCAACATGCGCTGCTTGGATCATGGACACATCGTTTGCACCATCACCAATTGCCAAGAGTAATGAATGGCTCTTCTTTCTCTTAACCATTTTAACAACAAGCGCTTTTTGTAAAGGAGATACACGGCAACAAATAACAGCCCTACAACGAGAGCCCAACTCAATAAACAAATCCTCCAAGTCAGGATCAAGTGCAAAGCTCAAGGAGTGGCCATCGATAACCAAAGCCAACGAAAACTCTAAAGACCCATCGTCAACATCAAACTGATGTTCCTGAATTGCTGTCAATTTCTCTTGAAGATTTAGTTTTGTGGCCCTTTTGGTCCCTTCATTGATTATCAAAAGATTCATATCTTCACTTAAAAGTTTACAAGACATACCAATGTTAATTGCTGTTTCCTGTCTATCTCCTGTTAACACCCATATCTTGATCCCAGCATTCTGCAAAGTCTGTATGGTCTCAGGCACGCCATCCTGTAATTTATCTTCTATTGCAGTGGCACCCAATAAAAACAAATCCTTTTCAATAAGTTCAGCCACTTCATCCATCTTATCACCTCGATCTTGCAAAGATGTTGATGCTTCGTAATACTTTTGAGACCACTCTTTGTACTCTTGTTGAGACACAATACGAGAAGCAATACAAAGAGTTCTTAACCCCTCAGCAGCAAAATCTTCCAAATGTTTCATAGTAGCATTAACAAAAGGTTGGGGCTCGCTTTTGGAAAGACGTTCCAAGATTACTGTATCTGCGCCTTTGCAAAATAGCCTAATTTCTCCATCGGGACATCTGAAGATCGCCGACATTCTTTTTCTTGTGGAATTGAACTCGCAGATGTCGAGTAACTCGTACTCCAGTTGCTCTTTGGTCAAAGTGTTTTCAATTGTAACCGTTTTGGGTCTACGAATAATGAACTTATACCCCAAGTCTGCGGCTCCTTGTACAAGCGCACCTTCGTCAGGAGATGCCGCTTGATACTTGACTTCTGTTCCATTGACTTCTGGTATAACGGTATGACATGTACTGAGCAAAGTAAGAAACTCATTGATAATTGCCGATTGCTGAGAAGAAGCATTCGCCAAAGTCGAATGAAGTTCGTCAAAAGTGTGGTAACCAATTTCGACACCATCTATAACTTGAGGGTAACCATCCTCTGGAATTTCCTCAATATAGCAATGACCACCGATCGAGCAAGCCTTGAACTCCATAACATTTCTGGTCAACGTTCCAGTCTTGTCACTAAATATATAGTTAATTTGTCCCAATTCTTCAACAAGAGAGGATGTTCTAACTCCAGTGGGCGTGTCGCTCTCTTCATAGTACATATCGAGATCACTTCCAATCATAAAAGCTTGGTAATATTTTATCAACTCAACAGTAACAAATAAGGAAATCGGGACCAAATTGGAAAACAAAATCCAATAGGTCAATAAATCTTGAAAAAACAATTTGGCCATCGACGTTCCCTCCAAGTGCAAGTATCCCAAGTCACCTTTGTTGGCCGTTGTTTTCACAACGTTGCCAATTGAAGATATCAATGAGAGTACAATCAATACACAGAATAGTGCAATGATTTGAAGATTTATTATTCTTTCAACATCTGTTCTTTTTATCGGAGTTGCAGTGGCATTCCTCATTAGTTTAGTTTCGTGACCTGTAAATATAACAATCCCGTTGATCCATTGTGTATTCCTCAATGTTGCTCCTCTCAATAACATTTGTTCTGGTGACAATGGAATAATCTTGTTTCCTTGAAAGTTTTGCAAATTACCCTCGTAAGTATAAAGGGAGGAGTTGGGCTGTTCCGAGAGAATTTCCGCTTGTGAAAGTCCGCTACTAAGATCCCTAGCACTTTTCAAACGAGACGTTTCTGTTTTTGCTTGTTTGATTTTCAAATTCGTTTCTCCATCTAAATTGGCAGTTTCAATATAGCACAATCCTTCTGGCTCAGAGGAGCTGATTAGTATCAAGTCAGCAGGAAAAGGCTCTTCATTGTTAACTTGAACGACATCACCAACTTGAACTTTAATCCATTTTCTCAGTACAAATTCTCCCGTAGTTGGATCAAGGACTAATACTCGCGTATTGTTCAATTCCTTATCGGCATTAGCACGTTTCAAATCCTCGGATATTTCCTTGATAGCAGATACAAAAAGGACAACAATCAATGTACCAATTGTAGTGTACCGATTCGTTGGAGATACATGCGGTACTTGTTGGATAATGGATGTGAATAAAAAGAACAAATTGGCATACTTGCTAAACTGTTCAAATAAAAACTTTGGTAGAAAAGTGGCAAAATTATACTTGGTAGTAGATATGTGGTTTCCGTAGTATTTGAACCCCAGATTTGCTGCACGGTTCATAATAAAAATTTGCCTTGGGGCACCCAGAGTCTTGTCTCCTCCCAATTCCAGCTTTCGACCGGTTAGTTTGTTCTTTATTCGTTGGAAGATGTGCGTGATGTCAAAGTCTCTGGGCCGGTCATTACCGCCGCCACCACCGCCGCCGCCACCGCCACCAGCAGCATCAGCAGCAGCATTTCCAAACAACCTTCTTCTGTTTAATCTAGATTCATCATCCAAACTTATAATTGAGTCTTGCCTCAGGAGGATGGAATTTCTTCTTTTTCCAAAACGCAGCAGCGGTACCATATTATCTCTAGAGTTTTCTCCACCCCGCATGCCTTCTTCCTCTTCATCATCATCAACATCATTATCATCGTCCGATACTATGAATTGGTCGTGGAATGGGTTGGAAGGGGTGTGTACAGTTTGAGATGAGCTAACTTGTGGATAATCATGCTGTGGATTATAATCGGAATAAGGGTTAGAGTCGAAATCCAAATCTATTAGATCGTTCACATCGTCAGCAAACGGGTCATTATTGGTGCTTTTCTTATTGTTATATCGTGACATAATTTTTTTTTTGTCACTCTAGACGTAGTAGCCCTCCTCAATCTTAAAGATATGTATTTCGTGGTGTAACAAGTATGATAGAAAAATGAAAAATTGGCTTGGTGGGTGATGTGATGTGAAATTGCTAAAGTTATGAGTTTCCTCTGTATTCACGTGACGCCCCACTTGAATAAATAAGATAGAAAATTCCTCCCCTCCCTCTGCCTTTATAGAGTTGGGTCCAATTTTATCACTCAAAAATTACCGTGTCTCAAATTTATTTGTTTTCTCAAAGGTGAGACATTGAAATACTTGAGGATTATATAATACAATGTTGTAAGCTCTTTTGGGTAATCGCGAAGGGCTTGAAAAATTCAATTTTTTTTTTCCCTCTCCTCTACTAAATAGAAGATAGGTTCAAGTAAGAAAGTTGAACTCATATCCTCGCTGTAGCTTACATCCTCGCTGTAGCTTACGTCCTCGCTGTAACTCACATCCTCGCTGTTTTTGCCTAGCCTTGAACTCATATCCTGCTATTTTTGCCTTTTATGTCTGGGGAAAGAATAGCGAGAAACGCCAATAAGGCATTTTCATCTTTAAAGGTTTTAACCAATAAACAAAGGTCAGAGGCACTAAAACAGATCCATGACTCACTCAAACTGCAAAAAGAGTCTATTCTCAAAGCTAATCAGCTTGATCTCGAGAATGCCATTAAAAACCACGTTTCCGAGTCCCTCATTAAAAGGTTGGACTTGTCAAATCCCGGAAAGTTTGATACAATGCTAGAAGGTATATTGGATGTAGCAGATTTGCCAGACCCGCTTGGGAAAGTGACATTGGCCAAAAAATTGGATGATGAGTTGGATTTATACAGGATAACATCACCAATTGGGGTATTATTGATCATTTTCGAAAGTAGACCCGAAGTGATTGCAAATATTACAGCATTGGCTATCAAATCAGGAAACTCGGCTATTTTGAAAGGAGGTAAAGAGTCTTATCAGACATTCAAGATTATGAGCGATATTGTTAATGCCACATTGGCAACCAAAACAGACGTTCCTAGTGATGCTGTTCAACTTATCCAGAGCCGAGAAGACGTGTCGGATTTGTTGGATCAAGATAAGTACATAGATCTTGTGATTCCAAGGGGATCAAACGAACTTGTGCGCAGTATCAAGGCAAATACCAAAATACCTGTTTTGGGACACGCAGATGGAATTTGTTCCATTTATGTTGACTCCAATTTTGATATCGGGAAAGCCAAGAGGATAATTGTGGATTCCAAGACCAATTATCCAGCAGGGTGCAACGCCGTGGAGCAGTTGTTGATCAATAAACACATTTGTTTAAAAGATGTCGAGGAACTCTTGAACGCGTTGATTGAGAATAAAGTAACTATTCACATTACACCAGAGTTGAAGAAGTTTTTGGGAAACTGCAACAATAATAATAACAACAATAATATCGACGAGCAATATGTGAAGGAAACCGAAGCGGACTCGTTCGACAAGGAGTACCTTTCGCTTGATATATCAGTGGGATTGGTAGATGATGTACAAGAAGCCATAGATCATATAAACCATCACTCCTCGAAACACACCGAGTGCATTATCACCGAAAACGAAGATGTAGCTAATCGGTTTTTAAAAAGTGTGGATTCAGCAGGAGTCTACTGGAATGCGTCAACGAGATTTGCAGATGGGTTTAGATACGGTTTTGGAACAGAGGTGGGAATCAGCACCAATAAGATCCACGCAAGAGGTCCTGTTGGTTTAGAGGGCTTGACTAGTTATCAGTATCAACTCAAAGGAAACGGTCACGTGGTAGGCGAGTATAAAGGCGGAGGTGGTAATAAATCATTTCTTCATAAAGACATTATTTAGAAAAGGAAGATAAGGGAAGGGGAACAAAAAAAAAAACCCACACAGTGTATAATATGCCTTAATATAAAAACAAGTCCCTATTCTCTTTTTCTCTAAGACTCTTCCTTAAATATGACCTCTTTAAACTGCTCATAATCTTTTGGAGGGTAGTCAGGAAAATAGCTGATTATTTTATCCACGTAATCGTACTTGTTTTCGAATGGAGGTTGCAGATCCATTGGCACTAGATTTAGTAAGGACCATTGTTTTAAAGTAAAGAAATCTGTTAAATTTTTAATCCATGTCATTCGCGTATCTATTGTCACAAGGTCATCATCAACCAAAATCAATTGCCTTAATCTTGATCTTATCATTCCCAAATTCTCAATGGCATTATTCAAATCAATACCAACAAATTCTTTCACTATATTATCCTTGATCATTTTTGACAACCGTGGTGATTTGCCATTAGTGCTGATCATTATCTGTAGATTATCTTGATTTATCATACTGCCGAAATAAAAATCGCACAAGGGTGGTTTATCGGCTATATTGACAGGTAGACGTAGTAGTTTGCATTGATAATATACCTTAGTGCTTAACTCGTAGTCATCAATGCAACAACAAACGCAAACAAAAGTTTCATCTCCCAAATTGGTAATTTCAAGGTAATTCTCGGGAGTGACATTACAATAATTGGCGGAGATTTTTGTTTTTTCATACATGGTAAGATCGGAACTTTCGTAGTTGCGCAAAATTAGGTTGAATATTTGCCCACTTGAATTCAACTCTAGAATAGATGGGTGTACTTCTCTTGATAATCCTGATATAACAGTAATCTTTGCTTGTGCTAGAATAAGATGCTTTATTCTAGACAAAGCCACATCACCTGCTCCTATAACAAGACAGTGCTTATCCCTCACCTGCCATGCTAGTAATAGCGAGTTCTTTGTCAGCATAACTCAATATCTTTCCACTCACTCCTTAAGCGTTATATGTTATATATGTGTGTGTAAGCGAGTGAGATTATCTATATATATATATATATGTTTTTTTCTCCTTACATAATTTCATATTATCGATTAAAAAGTAAAGACAAATATATTAGTGTATCGTCAAACATCAAGTGGTTGGAGGGAAGGGGAAAGCGAAAACCGTTTGATGTATCAAAAATAACGTTTTGAATGGGGTTTGGTGTTTTTTTTTACACTTCTTAGTGATACATCGGTTAGGTTATTTAGAGATAACACAAATCAAGTCACCCCTAAGTCACATTTGTGGTAGCATGCAATATACAATAGAAGTATACATACATATATATATATATAGGAAAAACATCAAACAGTTAAAATGTAAATAGAGCCGATTCAAACATTCCACCAGGTAGCAAATATAAAAACTATAGATCAAAACTACGGATTTGGCGATTTTCAAAAGTACGTCTCTGCAAATGAAGAGGCTATTCTTATTTTATTTTCTCGTATTGATATCTTTTTTATTTAGGTTAATCTATAAAGTATATTTTTTTCACAACCTCGGATTTACACTCTATGCTATATACAATCTCCGAGAGTGCAGACATTGCAACAGCTAATTTTTTTTAACGAGGTTAATCTTTGTTCGATACCATCAAGCAAAGCGAGATAGTGGTGCAACACTCAGTAGCGACACCAATAGATGTGTTTGGAAAAATAGCTCATGACTTTTGATTTAAGAAGGAAAAGAATAGTTGTTAAAGAGAGAGAAAAAAATGTGAAAACTAATATGCTCGGTGAATACATACAAATTTAGTAAATACGTATATCCAGTAAATACTATACAAATTTAGTAGTTTAGACAATCTGTTTATGGAAGAAACTCGTTTTTCCAGTCCTTGCTAAACTTAGACACTTGCATAACAAGCACCAATTAGTAAGTGAGAAGGGCCTCACATTGAATATTTCCACACTAGCTTAACTAGCTTATGATCAAATTTGTTAGCGCCGAAATTTGTTAGCGCGACCCCTCGTGCGTTTGAGTAAAAACATGTTTTGGGGTTTGGGGGTAGAATCGAAATAGCTACTTAGACACGAATTAAAACTTTTTTTTTTTTCCTGGCTTTAAAAATTAAACGTCGGGAAAAAAAAAAAAAAATATAAAGAAAATTTTTTTATTTCGACTCAAGACAATAAGATATAAAAGATTACGCCAACCCCCCCCCCACACACACACGCACACGCACACACTAGAGACATACAAAGACACACAGAGACACACAGAAGAAGAACCAAGAAGTGAGAGAACAAAGGTTAAAAAAACACAATAGAGAAAGTGAAGCTTATGGACTATACTCACGCATACAGTTAAAGCATTCTGAACTGTTCTTCACTTTGTCCTTGGCCCTTTTTTTTTTTTTTTCCCGTTTCTAGCTTTTAATCAAGGATGAACTATACTAGAACAGAGAGGAGAAAGTCGATGGCTGAACGCAGACCTAGTACTTCTTATTCCCCCTCGGTAATACCACCGTTGGCCGGATTGGAAAAACCTCAGGATCAGTACCTCAAGATTGATAATTGTGACGTTTTGATTTTAGGAACGGGATTACAGGAAAGTGTATTAGCAGCGGCACTCTCATGGCAAGGTACTTCGGTTTTACATATCGACAACAAGCAGTATTATGGTGATTCGAGTTCGACTTTGACAATCGACCAATTAAAAAAATGGTGTGCTGATGTCAACCAGAACAAGATTCCTCATTTTCAAGATGCACAAATTTATATACCTGGTGGGAAATTGAACAATCAGTACAAGTCCAAGGATTATGGTATTGATTTGACGCCAAAGATTATGTTTTGTCAATCAGACCTTTTGAGTTTATTAGTGAAATCTCGTGTTTACCGTTATTTGGAGTTTCAGTCATTATCCAATTTCCACGTTTTTGAAAATGACGATTTCCAGCAAAAGATCAACTCTACCACAAAGGAAGATATTTTCATAGACAAGTCCTTGTCGTTGAAAACCAAAAGATACTTGATGAAGTTTCTAAAGTTTATACTTTTGGACCCGGATTACAAGCAAAAAATTAAGCCATATGCCACACAACCTGTTCAAAAGTTTCTAAGAGACGAGTTCAAGCTTGAAGATCCTCAGATTAACGAATTGGTGTTCTCTATCGGTTTGAGCTACAAGGAACAAATAAATACCAAAGAAGCATTTATCAAGATCAAAAGGTTTCTTTCATCGTTTGATGTTTATGGCAAGTTTCCTTGTATGGTGTCCAAGTATGGTGGACCTGGGGAATTGGCGCAAGGATTTTGTCGAAGTGCCGCAGTTGCAGGTACAACTTACAAGTTGAACACCAGCTTAATTGATTTCGACCCAGAATTAAAGATTGCTCATTTTAATGATGGCTCACACATAAAGATTAATGAGAAAGTTGTAATTTCGCCAACTCAAATGCCCAAGTTTCTACAATCAAGTTATAATCAAGCTACGGAGAATTTGCAGCCACATTATGTAACTAGATTGATTACAGTTGTAAGGCGTGATTGTAAAGAATGGATGTCTTCAAATGAGTCACTGGCCATCGTGGTATTCCCGCCTCATTCTTTACCTACAAACAACGAATATTCGGTTCAAGTTATAATCCAAAATGGCGGGACTGGCTTGTGTCCCGAGGGACAGTCAATTTGGTTTAGCCAAACTGTTGAGCAAGATTTGAACCGAGCAAAAAGTGATCTTGAGTCAGCTTACTCGAAAATGGAGTTGTCTTTACTTAGGGAATCTTGTAATAATATTGATGGAATATTGGATGAAACAGATTTTGTTATGAGTGCACAAGGAACACCTGTTTTGGCCAATTCATTTAAATTGGGCTCTCATTTGCAGAATTTCGTGCCAAAAGAAACTGTTGAAATTGTATGCAAAGTAGGTTACATTGAACAAACTTTTGTTGCGAGCGATTTGTCGAATATTTTCAAACCTACAAGTAAGAATAACATTGTGTTGAAGGATATTCCCGATGCAAAGAACGAAATCATATTCACCAATATGCCTAGTGCAGAATTATCATATGACGGAATTATTACAGACGTGAAGTCAATATACCAGCAAATCACAGGTACAACGGATGACTTTTTTGACGTAGATTTTGAAGATGAAGAGGATGAGTATGATAGAGTTAATCAGCCTGATATACAACAAAAGACGACCTCATCCTCGGTTGCTGGAGGTATAGTTGGAGGAGGATCTGGAACCAATTTGGCAGCTTTAAGAGAGCTGCGAAATGGTAACATGAGTGAAAATGCAATTGATACCGATGAAGAAGACATGGAAGACAGCCACGAACCATTTGGTGCCGAAACCATGGAGTTGTAATTATAAGAAAAAAAAGAAGAACCCTTAAAGAAGAGAAGAAAAAAGAAAAATTCCTAAAAGAAGAAAAGAAAAAAAATTACTGTAATATTTCAATACGAATAACAACATTGCTTCTTTTTTTTTTTTTTTTTTTTTTTTTTTTTTTTTTTTCGTTTCCTTGAAACAAACAGAGAGCTTGTGGTTTTCATTCCATCATCAAATTCTGTTTGGGGAACAACATGTTCAAGCTATTATAAACAGGGGAAAACAACACGGCCGTTTTTTTAATTTTTTTTTTTTTTTTTGGGGACAGGTTCCTTATCGCGTGTTATACCTTTTTTTTTTGAATTTCTCTGCAATATCCTGTGCAGTGATAAGGTGAGTGGACCAAAAAAAAAACAAAACAAAATGAAACAGGATAGAGGATATCCAATAATCATTGAAACAAAGAAGTTTATTTAATAGCATAGTTTTTATAACTATATATATATATTAATATATTTATCGATACAAATTTAAATATGAGAATATCTCTATCTTTTTTTGATAGTAAACGTCGACCAAAATTAAGGAAGACCAGAAAAGGATATTTTAAAAGATAACACTCAAAAGAAAGTTGAAGCAAATTGCAACGACAGATGGCACCGTAAACCCCTGCACACCATTAAACAAGGTATTGGTTGTAGTTTTCGAGATGATACTTAATTTTGAAGTTATGCTGGTACTTGGATAGAATCTAGTCGTTTGAGAAGCTCTTGTACTTTGTGAAAAACTACCAGCTGCAACAGTAGGACTATGACGAGTAGACGTCGAGGTTGAGTTGTGGGAAATAGTAGATGTCGCATTGTTATGCAAAATGGAGCTTGAGTTGTTGTTGTTGTGATTAGTACTTGAATTGGTATAAAGACCATCAACGTCTACTTTTGGTGCCAAATCTAAAGTTCCAGTCCAGCAATATCGTTTAAAACATCTTTCACATTCTTGACTCGGTTTTTCTCCTAATCTATCTTGCTGCCTTCTGATTATTGCACATCCCACGCAAGTAGCCCATTCTGTATCATCGGTTAAGTTTTTGCTCGTCACGACTTCATAACCATTTTGAATGGTTCCAAACTTTTCAGCATTATCATAGGACAACTTGAATGTGGAAAAATTGGACAAGTACGACTGGTGATTACTGGATACATAGACAACCAAAGGAATATCAGTTTCGTTCCTTTCGTCAACACCGTGCCACTTTATCAATGGAGATAAAGACGAGGCATTGCAGCCAAAGAAAATTGGTTTTTCCCCAAGGCCCTTATTCAAGTAGGTTTTAACATCCGGTACAAACGGAAATGGTGTTCCCTTTCCTTGATCAGTAAATTGCCATTTATAAGTCTCTACAAAAGAAGTGCCATTTGGCCAGTTCTCTTGAGTATCTGCACTATTATCAAATGCAAAAATAACATCGACATTCCTATCCTTTTGTATCAAGGGATAAAAAGGTACATTTTGTCCATTTTCACCACCATCGACTAAGGTTAAAGTACGATTGTTTCCAACACTTTCAATGCTTCCATAGGTAGATTCGTAGAAGGGATTGGGCTCAAAAATTGCAACATCCGTTTTATCATCTGTCAAGTCACTCAAAACGGTTTCCACTACTGGTCTTATTAGCATGCCAACGTCATAGCCACTCAAATTCATAAATATTTGATTAAATAGAGACGAAGATGTTCCCATTAAAAAGCCGCCATTATCGAAATTCTTCACACATTGAGAAGACTCCCCATTCTCGATATTCGAACCCAAGTATTCTATATCAACAAATGATTTCAAAGAATTATCAAAGTTACCAAGCTCATAAGCTGACATTTCAACAATAAAAGTCAGATTTTGGTCAATTTCTGGATTCAGTGTAACCTTGCCGTTGGCAACAACAAAAAAATATGGCATACTATGATCTTCAAAAGTAGAAAAGTTACGCACCCCTGACCATGTAACATTTACTCCACCGCTGCTATCGTCAAAGAATTGGTGACTAAGAACTCTTCCCCAGAGATCGGTTAACGAGGTTTTAAAGCCAGCCTGATTCTTGGCATCTACAGCAGTTCCTACACCCAAATAGTACTTTGCCAACTCTGCAGCACTTAAACTGTTTGGATTTAAAAAGGAATCCTCGAGATTCCACATATTCGCTGAGCCGTTAAACAATTCTTGTACTGAAATCCAGTTGTTCAATACTAAACTACCCACTAGCCACGATCCACCAGATAACCCAGACAAATATGTCGTGGACTGTAGAAGGCCACCTAAGCCATTCGTATTCGAATCCTCGAATCGATTATCTAGAGCTAAGAGTGATCCGGCACCTGACAACATTGCTCTATAACCACCTCCAGAAAATGCCAAGCCAATGGTAATATTATGATCACGAGAGTTTTCGTTAATAAAATGTTCGGAATCAAAATCGCTCAAATTAGCCCTATTCGAGAGGAAATCAATGAGGTTTCTATTTGTGAGTTCTTGTCTCGACAAAATATAGTCCTTTTCGCCAGTCGACAAGCCATTTGCTTCTCTCACAATGGAATGACTTGGACACGTGACGTTGATTGGACTGTAAGGGTTGAGAATACCGTCTCCATCTCTATTTGATTCAGTTTCATCTGTAGCCTTTACCGAGTCCGAAGACTCGATTCTTGAGGCTGTAGTTGAATTCAACGAGCTGACACTGCTAGAGCTGGAGGTTTTCCCAAGCCCAAGACCTGCAATAAAACTTTCTAGCACATTATCGGATGTAGCTAGTTTCGTGGAACGACTTGCCAGCGGTGTTTGAGACGTGGTAATACCAAAGTGTGCAATTGCAGTTGCAGTTGCAGGTGGTGGCTTTGATGTTGAACTGGATATTACTATTTGATTACTAAAAAAACTTGCGTACCACGGCTGTTCCGAGGATGACACAGAACTAACTGCTGATGTCTGTGAAATAGCTTGGCTTTGAGTAACTGGCGTCTGTGTTGATAAAGTACTAGTAGTTCCCGTTTCCCCACCAAGAATGCGCTCCCACCAAGGCTCTTGAGTAGGAGTAGCCCCGACTGTATTTTCTGACTCATCAAATGGCCACAAAGCCTTTGAAGATGCTATCAACAAAAATGCCAGTAATAGTACTTTATACGTATACATCGCATATACTCTAACTGCATCGTAAAAAAAAAACAAAACAAACAAACCAACGAGTTAATGGTCCATATTTCTATTCATATATAACCATGAAGTTTGGCATCCATAGCATGAATTTCTGCTTTATAAGGGCCAATCCTAGAATATGCCTATTCTAGCAAAAAGATTTTTGTTGCTATTATGTGGAACTTGCTAACGTTTATATATATGCATATTGTAGTAAATATATGATTTTTCAACGAACAAAAATTACCAGGGACTTCCCTCCATATTGTTTGATAAGGCGACGTGATTACATAGCAGTAAGCAGACTCCTATTTGAAGGAGCAGTCAAATCAAAAAGTGACTATACTTGACATAACTTTTTGCAAAGAACGGTGAGAGTGTAAAAACTATCAAAATTGTGTTCACATAAGACTTTACGGAATAAAAGATTAAAAAAGTAAATAAAAACAAAAAAATGATGTGCGATTATTTTCTCAAACTTGCTTTCGTACAATTTGCTACCCCACATTGTGAGAGGTTAGCGATTGTTTTGCATAGTACTCGCATCTCACGATGAAACCAATTCTCAAGTCAAAGTAAAGTTTACTCTGTCAGAAATACCATATCAGGAATACTTTGTTATGAAGTTTGGCTGAAAAAAAGAGAGTGCACTATAATAATATTGTCTACACTTTTTTCGGCTGCCTGTTTACTTTCCAACTCCGAACTAGTTAGACGTTGATTGTGAAATCAATGCGTGGCTTAGGATTAAAAGACCAAAAACGAGCTCAATCTTGTTCCGAATTCCTCTTTAACAACCAAGTCCAAGTATTATGAATACTTAATAAAAACAATTATCTACTTAACAAAAGTTAAATTTATCAGCATTTCATACCGTTAGGAATGGATTACTCTTTGAAATGAAGATGATTCACAGACATTTCTTCCCCCCCCCACTGCTTTATCTATTTCTTAGTTTTATCCTCTTAAAGGTCTCTCTCAACATAGCCAGTGCTACCAATTTGCACCAAACGGTTTATAGCCCTGGAAAAATCATTTTTCTTTCTGCTCTGAAAGATTATTTATTGAATATTATACACTACTTCTCATTTTCCAGTAAGTTTGAAAAATTTCAAAGAAGGAGAAATGTCATTTACACTTGGTAAAGCCTATCTTTTTAGAGAGCACTGAGCAGTAATTAAATTACTTGACGAAGAAGTCCCCTCTACCACATCCCTCTTTTAGATATACACAAAAGTTAATATGTCAGACGTTGAACAAGAACAGATTGTTGAAGAAGTTGCTGTTGAGCAAGAAACTTCCGTTTCTATCGAAGATGCTTTGAAAGTTGTTTTGAGAACCTCCTTAGTCCACGACGGTTTAGCCAGAGGTTTAAGAGAAGCTTCAAAAGCTTTATCCAAAAGAGAAGCTCAATTATGTGTTTTGTGTGATTCAGTTACTGAAGAATCTATCATTAAATTAGTTGAAGCTTTATGTAATGAACCAGAGGAGAAGATTCCATTGATTAAAGTTTCAGACGCAAAATTGTTAGGTGAATGGGCTGGTTTATGCCAGTTGGACCAAGAAGGTAACGCTAGAAAAGTTGTTGGTGCTTCATGTGTTGTTGTCAAAAACTGGGGTGCTGACTCTGACGAGAGAAATATCTTGTTGGAACACTTCTCTCAACAGTAGACATCCACATGTGTCTCTCTCTCTGTGTGTGTGAACTTTTTGTATGTAATATATAAAAGCATTTGCATTTAATACTGTTTCAAAGGAGGGGCCTCTCTAAAGCAGTTAGTTTTCTTTTTTTTTTCAAATCACAATTTTAAAAAAGACTCGGTTTCTTTTTTCTTCTTCTTTCTTTCTTTCTTTCTTCTTCTTCTTCTTTGTCATCAGCAACCATCTTGATTTGTGTGTGAAGTTACGTAAACCAGAGATGGTGCCTGCTGATGTAGTAAAGATCAATAGACAAGCCAGAATCAGAGGTTCAGGGTATGCGTTGGAAATTGAAGCATGAACAGAATCAACAGAAACTAACTCTATTTCTTCTATTATCATTATAATCTTTTTTTTTTTTTTTTTTAGAAATCGCGTTGTGAAAGCTAATGATTTAAAACTTTCTTCGAATTTGGTCTCTGTATCTATACCAAAGAATAAACTTGAGAAAGAATTGATCAAGGAGAAGCAGGAAAGCGGAGAAGGAAATGGAAATAATGTAACTATTTTACAGGATCATTTCGTAGCAGATGGGAACAGCAGCCCAATGCACCACTCACATTCAATAGACGCGGATAAAAAGAAATCCAAGCGGGGAAAAGGTCGTCCAAAGAAATATAGGCCGCCTGGTCGAAGGTCAGTGCCGAGAACAAATGATTTGGTTGTGCTGCTGCTGCAACAAAAAGTAGGGGTTGAATCAAGTTCAATTGATAGGATGCGTGCTGAAAAAGCTGTATACTCAATGTACACTCTAGATCAGCAAAGGCTAAGGCTATTGGAGACATTGAATCTTTTCTTTAAAAGATTCGTAGATATGAGTGTAGATGTGGATAAGGAAAGTGAAAGCATTGGTAAGGTTATCAATGAAATAGAGTGTTTGAGGACGCAAGCCCTGTACATTGTGGACGGTAAGACTGAAATACTCAGAGCACAAAACGATTGCAAGAAATTGAAGCTAGAGATTACCGATTTAGAGAAAAGCTATGCCGGGCTTGATAAGGAGGTGAATAAATTAAGAGGAGAAAGCGCGACGAAACAAACGTTGCAGCTGGTTTATTCTACCTTACTGCAACAACAGAAGACTTTAGCTCAAACAATTACAAATTTGCGTTCAAAGATTCAGTTTACAAGTACGAAAATTCAAAGCCTCGAAAAGCGTTTACGAAGCTGACAAAAGACTAGCTTGTAGATTTAGGATGAAAGGTTTGCACAAACATTTGAACCTTCAACTCATCCTAATACTCAAAAATCATTCTCAATACCAACGAGACACCTACTTCAATGGAAGATGCGTGAATGTATTCTAGTCTTCCCTCCACTTCCTCCTTCATTTAGAGTAAGTGTTTCAACAAACGAATGTTATTTTTACAACACGGTTTTCATGTGATCTATCCATCACCATTGGTGCAATGACAGAAAAAGAATAAAACCACAATGATATAAACGCAAAATATATTACAGTGTGAAAGATTTGTAAACAAATACAAAGTTCACCTCTTCTGAATAATTAAATATATATATATATATGTATATATCATAATATGCAACTCCATATCCGAAAATACATGGTTCTTATGGCATGCTTTTTTTTTTATCCTTTTTTTCTTATTTTTTACACAACCGAAATATATTTCATCAATGTTCATCATTAACCAAGGCCATGATCATTCTATACAAGTAGAAGAAAAACATTAATAAATGGAAACCCAACTTAAGAAAGCTCTCTTTCTTATGTTTCGACAAGGTTCTGAAAATTTCTGTGGCATCTAATAAATGATTCTTTGTGTAGAACTTGTTGACATTGTATCCAAGTAATGGCAAGTTGAGTAAAAAACAGAACCAGTAACCGTTAACCAAAAACAACAAGGTGATAAAGGCATGTAATCCAGCCTCTGGAATGAACCAGGGGTTCAATTTGTTACACAATTCAATTGGGTTGATGTAGTCGCACTCTAAATCCGAGTACATAATTGTGAAAAACACCTGTGAAAACAAGTTAACAGCATTGACAATAACTGCAAGTATAAATAACCTAGAGCAAAACAGTTAGTACCACATTAGAGAAAAACCCAAAAGCAGTATACAGCAACAAAAGCCCACTCTATCTCCCTATTGAAATTTTACCCTGGCTTGCCTTCTTCCTCATAACAATTGCAAGGCTCAATTCAACCTGCTCTAACAAACCCGTGTGTAAAGCTCTTTCAAAACATACCATCCTTCACCATTCATCTCTAGTTATGTCACCTTAATATAATTAGGAAATTACTATGCGATGTGAAAAAGATATACAAGACTTGATGTCAGAATAAATATGTATATATTTTTTCTTTTTTTTTTTTTTTTTTTTTTTTTTTTTTTTTTTTTTTTTTTTTTTTTTTTAAAAAAAAATTGAATATATTTTTTTTTTTTTTTTTTTTTTTTTTTTTTTTTTTTCTGTCTGGTTTGCCATTTATCTGAATTCCACTTTGGATATATACATACATATCGCAGTGGTATAACCCATCGTCAGATATAAGCTTGATCTGGTAAGAATGTTCATGCATACATATTTATAAATATATAAAGACTTAGTACATTTCTCTATCTCTGGAAAAAAGAAGTTTCTTAGCGAAGCATAGATGGAAAAGAGGGGGGAAAGGGGAAGGGGCAGAGGACGAAGGAAGAAGGAGTAAAGCAAGGGAACATCCTTATCTTTTATTTTCAGCTTATCAAACTAACATTTTAAAGGCTATTGTTGTTATTTGATATGAAATTATCTCTTATTTTGACGCGCGCCAGGAAAGAGGAAAGTATATAGCAAAATGCAATAAGCTCAAAAGTATATAGCATAATATGGACTCTAACAGCAAACATAATTGTCGTGAGTGTTCTTTCATTTCATTAATTCTTTGGATATAACTCTCTAAACTGTTGGTATGCTGTATTTCGAGAGCAGTTGTTGACAACAATTCCGTCCAAGACTCGCAAGGCTGAAAAGTACAAAATTATTGCACTAGTGTATCTTCTTCTTTTAACAGCTGTGGCTTCTTTTTCTTCTTCCTCAGCACCACCTTCAAGCATTCCTTGAAGAAATACATTATCCCTTTCTTTCCATTCTCCAGTTGCATCTATTTCTTCTAACCGTTTTGCAAAAGTGTCAATATCATCAACAGTTTCTAAACCTATTGTACTATTCTCCAAGTCGTCTGCAACAAATAAATAGGGGTATATATCAATACTTATTGGGTTCAATCTTAGATCGAGCTTCTGCAATGAGCCTCTACAGCTCTCAAGACTCGCTAGAATATCATGGAGGTCGGGTAATTTATTATTAACCAATGATAGTTGTCTCAAATTGGACAAGCCGGATAACGGTCTCAATGTCTTCAACGAGTTAAAATTCAAGTTTAGCAACTTCACATTGGGGAAAGTCAGGCTAAAATTAAAAGGCAAGGAATTGAGGTTCATTGCTGTCATGGTTAGCTTGCTAACAAATAAAAACGTAAAGGCTTGACTCAATAAGGGAAACTCGTTTCCAGACAAATCCATACGTCTTACATTTACCAAATTCTCAAATACCTGTTTCGAGAGTTCAGGTAGATGAGGCTGAGACTTTAATGAAATCAGATCAATAAAGTTCGCCTCCAGAGTCGAAAATTGCACAATCGCATTACCGTCAAATTTCACAGATCTCAACTGGCTGAGCTTTGACAAATCTAGGCATTTCAACTTGTTCCCACAAATGGTTAACTTGCATATAGAACCACTGGTGCAATCAAACACCAGCAATACGTTATTGTCCAAACAAAACACTTTCAAGCTCGATAATGAATCAACTCCTTCAAGTGTGTGGATTTTATTGTCCAATAGATTCAACACTTGCAATCTTTTAAAATCAAATGTACTCAAATCTAAATGTCCTTCAATTTTATTATGTGACAAGTCCAACGTAATCAAATTGGATAAAGCTTTCAATCCTGAAATGTCCTCTATAAAATTATTGGACAAAGTGAGAGATGTCAAATGAATGTTTTTCGACAAGTTCATTGTGTGCGTCAAAAAGTTGTAGTCAAGTGCCAAGTGATGGAGATTGTAAACGCCGCCAAAAGATGTCCTGTTTTCAATTTCATTTGACCCTAAATCCAATGCCAATATCTTCGAAGGTATACCACCGAGATACTTGATTTTGTTATTTGACAAATTCAACTCGGTCAAATTAGGCAAAATGGAAGCTAAATCATTCACGTTCCTCAATTTAGAACTTGACAAATCAATCTTTTGTACATCTTCCCAATCGCGTAGTTCCTCTTGGGTATCAAGGATATCTGTAATTACAGAAACCAATTGCTTTTTTGACTCGGAGAATGAAACGTCACCATTTACTTGTGACAACCTAGTAACTTCTTCTTCTGAAACAGTTAGCGGAAGTACCTGTCCCTTGTAATCTACTAGACTTGGCGAAGCTGGCTCGTGGAAAGACACCTCTAAATTTTGTCTCCTGCTTTGGCTATCCTGTTTTAGTATACCCAAGTGTCCTCCCACTTCTCTTCCCGCTTCTCCTCCTCCTTTTCCACCACCGCCACCACCACCTTCTTCTTTTTCCATTTCTTTTTCCTCTACTTTTTGAACGTTGATGTTATCCACCAAATCGTCAATTTTGTCCAATGTCTTATTCTGCACACCATGTTTATTCTCCCATCTGCCATTGACTTTATTAAAAATCATATCGTCGTACTCCAGTGGTAGTTCAACTACCGGCAGTATCCTATTTAGCAAACCGGGATTCTTTAAGCCAAGCTTCAATTGTGATTTGGCTTTCCATTTCATAGGCTCTGGGTGGTAATAACTGTCTTCCTTTTCTATGTGATAGTCTGGGTTTTCCAAATATTCTGTAGATGATAATACCTGTCTTGGCAACTTATTCAACGATAATTTCATAGCCGCTGTTTCCTCCCAAATACCCTCGCGTCGGCTCTTCATACGATTTGGCGAGTCGCTGGGCAATTTGAGAGGTACGATGTCTTCTTCAGCCCCATTTTCGGTGTCTGTAAAACTTCCTTGAGTATAATCCGATTCCTGATGTTCTTGATTATTTCGAAACGGCACAACACCAATGCCAACACCAAAAGAAGAGCCCAAACGTCCATCATCAAACTTTGACGTGTTATCAAAGCTATCTTTTGTCACTGATGTATAGTTTTTAAAACTATCAGTTTCATGCTTTTCTGTACCTCCACTATCGTCATCGTCGTTGTCGTTGTCGTTGTCGTTTTCACCTTCGCCATTAATGCTTGCCCCATCTGAATCGTAACCTGTAGTAAAAGAAGCAAAATCTTCCTCTTGATGTCCCATCTCTTCAACCTTTTTCGGAGTCGAGGTTGCTGTATTTTGTGACACAATTCTCACATTGGGGTCTCCCACTGCAAAGCCCTTCTTTTTGATATTAGAGAATATCTTGTCGGCATTTGCGAGATATGATTTGTCCGTGTATGATCCTGTCTTTGTAAAAGCCCGAATATTTGTTATTCGTGACAAATTTTGCACTTGAAAGTTCGGACCCAAAGGTGCTCTTGGAAGCTCTTTTTTATTTAACAGTTTGGGCTGATAATGATGAGGATGATTATTATTATTCTTTTGGGCTGGGGTATTCTTATTGGATTTCATATTTTGAATTACTCCGTTCAAAGTTTGTTTTGTAAAAGTATCGTAGTTATCACCAAATAATTTCAACGGAGACCCTGTGGTTGGTGCAGGCATAGAATGTTCCACAATTGTTGAAATTGGTCTTTTGATACTTTCTATGATGCTATCGTTAATGTGGCCATTGCCGTTGACGTCGCCATTACCATTGCCATTGCCGTTGACGTTGACGTCGCCAATACCATTGCCATTGCCATTGCCATTGTCATTGCCATTGCCATTGCCATTGTCATTGCTGTTGCCATTATTATTATTGTTTTTATCTCTGATCGTCACAGTCGGTGTGGGAATGATAGAAGATGCATCCTTGTTGCTGTAGTCATTGGAATCATGAAATATCTGACGAAGGTTTTTGGGAGCAGGACTTTCATGCAGCTTTAGCCAAGGGATACTGTTTCTCAACTGAACATCCGAGTTATGAATCATCGTATTTGAACTGTTAAAATCCATGGATCTAAAACTACCTCTTTTCAAAGATCTTGGCGCCAGCATAATGGGCTGCTCCCTGGAGTTGGCGTTGCCTATTTCAACAGCCGCCGCGTCAGCGGATGACGGCCATTCGTCTTCAAGAACCGCAGGCATCCAATCAGGAGTATGTCGAAACGAGCTTGTAGTATGCAGTTGGTGCAGCTGTTCGCTGTGAGAACCATCTTCACCCAAATAACTTTCGCCCAACTCCCTAGACTTTGCATTGGGATGAGACTTGTACTGAAAAGTATTTGGCACAGAACCCTGTGGCGTGTTTTGCTTGATCTCACTAAAGATTAGTGAGCTTTTATTACCCAGAAAGTCGCAGTTAGGAATGTACTTGACCTGCTTTTGGTAAAGGTTCTGTTGCCGAGAAGTCAAAAAGACCTTTGATTCTTTCGACATTGTTGTCGACATCGTCATAGTGTTGCCATTACCCTTTTGCATCTCATTAACGCGTTCTTCTTCTTCTTCTTCTTCTTGTTCTTCCTCTTGGGTTAACAAACCGAGACCATTAACCCTATTGACCGGCCCCTTTCGCTGGCCATTACTAAGCGCCTCCCCAAAAGGACCTTTCTCAGCACATATAGCCCTATCTACTTCCATTAGTCACCTGTCAACCAAAAGAGTAAACTATGAATTAATTGTGTTGTTATAATGAATGTTTTTCTTGTTTATGTTTTTCTTTTCTTTTTTTGTTGTTTGCTTCTGTGTCTTTTTTATTAGGGACGGACGCAAAATCAAGATTTTTGATACACTAAATAAATCGGTACGATTTGGTGAATAATGCAGATTGAAGATATGCTCTGGGTAGATGCTCTTTAGGATGAATACTTTTTAGGATAGATGCTCTTTCTGACACATATTTTCTTATTGTGTCTATTGGGGAAAACAGCTCAAACTGTATACTGTACTTTGATTAGATACGAAACCATCTTAAGAAAATAGGTCAATCTTTTTTTGTTTGACACTATTGAGCGAAGCGAGATAGTAGAGAAACACTGACTCGTGACGTGATTTTTCATAAAATACATGCAATTAACCATATTAAGATACTTTAGACCCAACACTATCGAGCAGAGCGAGATAGTGTTGTAACAAGCTACTGAGTGTTGCTCCACTATCAACACTATCGAGCAGAGCGAGATAATGTTTTAACAAGCTACTGAGTGTTGCTCGATAGTGTTGTAACAAGCTACTGAGTGTTACTCCACTATCTCGCTCTGCTCGATAGGCAGCTAGTCAGTGTGTAAACCATATTAATTAAATATCATTAATATGTAATTGTGCTCCATTATCTAGCAAGCTCTGCTCGATAGTGTTGGTTTCTTTGCTTTCTCTTTTTTTCCCCCTACTTTGTCATCATTATGAAATAACAATTGGTGGTAGGAAAGTAATACTTGCTTTAGCTTTTTAAATATTTATAAGCACTAGAACCATAACTAGGGGCAGAACACATGGGTTTTATCTCCCTCACCCTTCTTCTTTCTTTAGTACATATTTTTGGAACTCCGACTATATAAACTACTTTGACTACTTACATCATGTCTACCTCACTCACCTCTCGCCTCACTCACCTCTCACCTCTCGCCTCACTCACCTCTCACCTCTCGCCTCACTCACCTCTCACCTCTCGCCTCACTCACCTCTCACCTCTCGCCTCACTCACCTCTCACCTCTCGCCTCACTCACCTCACTCACCCTCTTTCTTCATATGCAGCTAGTCTGTGGCAGCTAGTCAGTGTGCTCCACTATCTCGCTCTGCTAGATAGTGTAGTGTAGTGTCGATAGTGTACACAAAACTGCAAATATCCCGGTTCATGATTTTGTTCTCTTTTTCTTTTATTTTTTCTTTGCATTTACTAGTGTGCAACTATTCTGTGAGTTCATAATAGTTATCTAACTTGATTGCATCCATTGAGTTATCAACATCTATTTAGTATTAGCAGCAACGCTACCACTATCATCCCCATCACTACTACTACTACTACTGCTACTCCTTTTCTCTTCTCTTCCTCCCCTCCTCTCCCACTAGAATGGAATTTTCATCCACGAAATTCGATGAATTCCCAGTCATTGATTCTAATTCCGACCCCAATTTTGATCCTAATTACAATTCATCTACAACACAACAACACCCTGATATTCATGCTGCTTCTCAGCAAAAAGTTTCCTTGAACCCTAATACAACAACGACTTCAAGCACTGCTAGTCACCAACACCAAAAAGAGCAAGAGCTATTATCGGACTATACGGTTCCCAATCCGCCTGTTTCGACAAAACAATCAAATGCCGTAATCTTAGAACAAGACCCCACTTTTGCCGGAAATCCGGAACAGCCTCGAACATTATGGATGGGTGATTTAGATCCTTTATTGGATGAAGAGCAGATTGAAAATTTATGGTGGAACATTCTACAAAAAAAAGTCTCTGTGAAAATTATTAAACCGAAAGCAATGAAACTTGATCTACACTACCTGGGAGTAGCAAACTCGGGGTACTGTTTTGTTGAGTTTGAGACATTTGATGATGCACAAAAGGCATTGGGCTTGAATGGACAACTTTTACCTGATATTGCTATCCCTTCGCAGCAGCATTTTCCAGACAATCCAGACAATCAGAAAAAGTATTTCAGGCTAAACTGGGCTAGCGGGGCAACTTTAAATGCTCCCATCATCCAAATGCCCGAGTATTCATTGTTTGTAGGTGATTTATCTGCATCGACAACAGAAGCACATTTACTAGCGTTTTTCCAAAAAACTTTTCCAGATTCAATAAAAACAGTTCGGGTGATGACAGACCCAATTTCCGGAAAGTCGCGATGTTTTGGGTTTGTTCGATTTACTGATGAGCTGGAGAGGCAAAGGGCATTGACAGAAATGAACGGAGTATGGTTTGCTGGACGTCCTTTGAGAGTGGCTCTTGCAACTCCAAGAAATTCTTTCAACCGCAACCCCCGGGTTCAATTCCAAGATGCTTACAATCACAGGTCAAACGACCACTATCAAACAGACGTGGCCGCAGCGGCAATGTCGGGCCCAGGTCCAGGTCCTGTGCCCCCACCACCAGAAATGATGTTCTTATCACCTGTTGCGCCTCCAAATAATATTGGAAATAGCCCCATGTTTGGGTTTTATCATCAACCAAATATGGCACGCTCAGGGAACATTTCTACTCAACCACACGATGTCGAAGGTAGGTATTTAGGTAATTTGGAGTCTCCGAATTCATCTCAACAAACACCACCCTTTTCAGCTGCACCTCATCTACAGCTTCCACAACAGAATTCTCCTTTACATCATCATCATCAACAACAGCTACAGCTACAGCAGCAGCAGCAGCAACAACAGCAACAACAACAGCAGCAACAACAACAACAGCAGCAACAACAACAGCAACAACAACAACAACAACAACAACAACAACAACAACAACAGCTACAACAGCAGCTACAGCAGCAACTACAGCAGCACCCTCGTCATCAGCCACAATATGCAGATCCAAATAATACTACAGTTTTTGTAGGTGGTTTATCAACAGAAGTGACAGAAGCAACGCTTTTCAATCTATTTAAGCTGTTTGGTACAATTCAGCAAATAAAGATCCCACCGGGTAAAAACTGTGCATTTGTGAAATATTCAACACGAGAGGAAGCAGAAGAAACAATTGCAGCAATGCAGGGCTTTATAATAGGTGGTAACAGAGTTAGATTGAGTTGGGGAAGAGTTTCTGTTAACAACAAAAGGTATCTACAACAACAGCAGCAAATGGCACAAGCAGCACAAATGCAAGTTGCTGCAGCTTTGTCAATAGGTATGGATCCGGCGAGTGCAATTGCAGCAGCTGCTGCTGCCGCGGCAGCCGGTAACCAAACAGTACAGCGGCAACAACAGCTTCCAAATCTCCAAATCTCACCACAGCTGCTATCAAATGGTCCACCTCAAATGGGAATGCCTCCTCCACCAATGCATTCTCTAGGAATGCCAATGTCTGGTCATCAATTCCAACTTTATCAACAGTACCAAGGCCTGGCGCCGATGCCACCGCCACCTCCACCTCCTCCACCTCCTCCACCACCCCATCATCCTCCGCCTCATCATTCTATTCCTTCTTCTCATCCAACTCCACATTCACATTCACATTCACATTCACACCCACATGCACAGGCACATTCATCAGATGAAGGAGATTCTGCTGACACAACGGCAACGGGCACCATAGCATTTTCAAGAGAAAACACCGGATCATACGAAACAACCCCTGTTAAGCGCAACCTCGGTTCTTCGTCAGGTTATTTTAGTTCTAGTGGTGGAGATCCTTTGGATTATGGAGTTGCAGCCGAAGAGTCTCGACTGCTGCAGGGTCAGCATCCTGATGAAATAATTAGCTCTTTGGGTAGAATGAACTTAAAAGAGAACACAAATGAGGTTCCAGGTACGGGTATTGACTCCTCCACTGTATATCCTAAATACAATGAAACGGGTCCAAAGCTGGAGTTTGAAACTGAAAAATCTCATTAAAGTTTCCTTTTTCTGTTGTCGTTGTTGTTGTCGTTGTCGTTGTTGTTGAGTTTAGATTGTTAAAAGTATGTAGGTAAAAGTAGGCCTTAAAAATGTACAATAAGTTCCACCCTCCATTGCGATGAAAACATTTGACAGAGTTACTCTGATTTAAAGAAAAACACACACTATATCAATCCTCAAGAGCTAAATAGAAACTATAAAGGACAAATAAAAAAACCTGTAACTAGACAACTAAAAGAAATAAAATAAAAAAAAACACACCCAGACACAGACACAGACACAGACACAGATCAAAAACCAAATATGTGTTGTAACATCAGCGGTCAATCCCCAAAAAATGACAACATCGGTGGGTTTCTTTCCAATTAAGTTCTCTCACCTCTTAATCTTCTTGCAAGTTGAATATCCTTCTTTTGGATGGTAACTCTCTTTGCGTGAATAGCACATAAGTTAGTGTCTTCAAATAATCCAACCAAGTAAGCTTCAACGGCTTCTTGCAAAGCACCAATAGCACTCGACTGGAACCTCAAATCTGATTTGAAATCTTGAGCAATTTCTCTGACTAATCTCTGGAAAGGCAACTTTCTGATCAATAACTCAGTGGATTTTTGGAATCTTCTAATTTCTCTCAAGGCAACGGTACCTGGTTTATATCTGTGTGGTTTCTTAACACCTCCTGAAACTGGTGCTGATTTTCTAGCGGCTTTTGATGCCAACTGTTTTCTTGGTGCCTTACCACCAGTAGACTTTCTTGCTGTTTGTTTAGTTCTAGCCATCTTTATATAACGATGATATTATGATAATGATCAAAAAAAAAAAAGGTAGATAAGCTGACCGCCTTCAGAAAAAATTATGTTACAATATATATATATATATATGAACAAATTAGAAAAAAAAAAAGGGGGGGGGAAGGCGAAAAGCAATAAAAAAAGTCAAAAAACCCGTGGTGGGAAATTGAAAATGGTCCTATAAAATTGATGTGTGAATTCGTTATGTTTAAAATAAAATGTTTTTTTTTGCACATTGATGACTGAGGAGTAAAGAGAGGCAGTTTGTATATATGTGTGTGTGTATCAGTAGAACAATGCGCGACATTAAGAAAAATTAACTTATCTGGAAGGTAGTGTTGAACCAAAATATTGTCATTTTTTGATAAGAAATGTTTTTTCCGACACGATATCTCGACACTGGATGGGTTGAGTGAAATAAGTATGGGGCTCATAACCTAATTATTAAACTATGACTATTAAAAACAAAAAGATATTCAACAAAGCCACTAGCGGAGATATACAAGTTGGGGCAAGTGGTCCTTCGCAATCTCTTTACACTCGTTTCAACAGAGGTATACAAGTTGGGGCAAATGGCCCTTTGCAATCTCTTTACACTCGTTTCAACAGAGATATACGGGCAAATAGCCCTTTGCAATCTCTTTACACTCGTTTCAACAGAGATATACAGGCAAATGGCCCTTTGCAATCTCTTTACACTCGTTTCAACAGAGATATACGGCCAAATGGCCCCTTTTCAGCTATTATTATCTTTTTTGCTCTTTTTTCAACAGAGATATACAAGTTAGAGCAAAGTGGCCCTCTTTCAGCTATTAACAATCTCTTTTGCTCTTTTTTTTTTTCAACAGCGATATACAAGTTGGGGGCAAAATGGCCGCTTTCCAGCTTCTATAATCTCTTCTACTCTTTCTTCTTTTCTTTCTTTTTTTAACTCCTGTACCACAATCTCGTTATTCTTGCACTCATCATTTTCTTTTGTAACTGGAATACACCATACATCAATGCTTCCGACGTTGGTGGGCATCCAGGTACATATATGTCTACTGGTATAACTCTATCGCACCCTCTCACGACTGAGTATGAATAATGGTAGTAACCACCTCCGTTGGCACACGAACCCATGGAAATAACCCATTTTGGATCGGGCATCTGATCATAAACCTGTCTCAAGGCAGGAGCCATTTTATTCGTCAATGTACCTGCAACAATCATGATATCTGATTGTCGAGGCGATGCTCTAAAGATAATACCCAACCTATCTTGATCGTATCTTGGTGCCGACACATGCATCATCTCCACTGCACAACAAGCTAAACCAAAAGTCACGGGCCAAAATGATGATTTTCTTGCCCAATTTGCAATCAAATCCAACGAAGTCAATGCGTAATCTATTGCGCTCGAAGCGGTTTTCTCAGACATTAATGGGAACTCCTTAGGCAATTGTTGTGGAGTCAATTCTTTAGAAGAAACATGACGCTTGCTTATATACCCACTATTAAAGGAAACATGGGGAACCTGTGAAACTGAAGATAGAAGGATAGAAGCTGATCTAGATTGCTGCTTTATGGGTCCATAAATAATATGCTTTGACAAGGAGTACATTCTTTGCTATATAGTTCAACTCTCTTTCTTGAATATCTAACCTATTGATATTGTTTCAACAAGGAAAATTTTTGGTTAGCTTAAAGGGAAAGAAAAAAAAGCTTGAAGAATATATAATCAACAAAAAATAATCCATGATTGGATAACTTTGCCTTGATTTTCTTTTTCGCACTGTTTTTTTTTTTTCACTATCGACATTATCGAGCAGAGCGAGATAGTGTTGTAACAAGCTTCAAAGTGTTGTAACAAGCTTCAAAGTGTTGCTACACTATCAACACTATCTCGCTCTGCTCGATAGCGTTGCAAGATAGCGTTGCTCGATAGTGTTGCTCGATAGTGTTGTAACAAGCTACAAAGTGTTGCTCCACTATCAAGCAATCGTTTCTTTTTTCTGCTGTGGATTATATGGATTGGGGCTTCAAGTAAAGTATAGAGCACTACAATATTGTAGACCACTGATTAATGCCACTATCGAGCAGAGTAATATAGTGTTAGCCAGTGGTGCTCCACTATCTCGCTCTGCTCGATAGTGTCGCTCGATAGTGTCGCTCGATAATGTTAGCCAGTGGAGCGGTTTGGTTTAAAATTATTCATCTATTATCCCATCAAGGTATTTTTCTATTTTCTTCATAATATTCTCTTTTACATCACTCGGTACCAATTCTTCAGCTTTGGGTCTAACAAGAGCATACAATTGGTTTAAATTTATTGTCAGAGCATGCCCTCCTTTATCAGTGTCATTGTTAACCAGCTTATTAAGCTCTTTGTTTGCAATTTGAGCAACTTTATCGTACCAACCACTCTCATATAGCTGGAGCTTAAGTTGTTTATTTATCACTTCATAATTTCCAGATGCAATCAAATGATCTTGAATCTTGGACTTGATTTGATCGAGCTCTTCCTGTTGTTGTGTCATTTATTTGTACTTACCTTGTACTAAATAGTCAATCAGCAAAAAACAACCACTCAAAAGAGAAGACCCCGCAAACTCTATGCCTGTTTCCTTCTTGAAATGGTTGTTACTGAGCAAAGAAGCCCTTTACATGTAAAATGCAATAGCATTTTATTCAACTTCTTTTTTTTTTTTTTTCCTTCCTTCCTTCCTTCCACACGGGTTTGTTTGTTTTTTTTCTATTGCTTTATACAAGAGGGACCCTTTTGTGAATGTTTCGACTCTTGCTTAAACAAAGAATGTCCACGAAAGCTTCACCATTTAAAGCAAAAGTAACTGCAGTTGAGTCCTTGACACAAGGGAAATGGATACAAACTCGTAAAATCAAATACAATGACCCCAATGGGAATCTGAGGGAATGGGAAATGGCCGTTAGAACTACTAGATCAGACACAACCAATATTGATGCTGTTTCTATTGTATCGATCTTGCACCATACTGATAAGCCTAAGGAAATCGTATTGGTGCAGCAATTTCGCCCACCGACTGAAAGAGTGGTGATTGAGTTGCCAGCTGGGTTAATTGATCCAAATGAAAGCGTTGAAACAACAGCCGTTAGGGAATTGCAAGAGGAAACGGGCTACCATGGTGAATTTCGTAAACAATCACCTGTAATATATAGTGACCCAGGTTTAACAAACGCAAATATGGTGTTGGCATATGTCGACATTGATTTGCAAAACCCAAAGAATTGCGATCCAAAGCCAAAACTAGAAGAGTCTGAATTCATAACTACGTTCAGCTTGCCTTTGAACAATTTGCGTAAAAGTTTAGATGAAATAGCACAACGGGAAAATTGCACTGTAGATGCCAGATTGTACCATTTCGCAATGGGCTTAGAGTTGGCAAAGACCCAATTATAGTACAATCAACAACACTTTTTCTGTTAAAACTCTGTATAAATAGAACTTCCCAACTAAAGTATATTCTTTTGATATCCCGGGTTTGCTCAGCTCGCGGATATCTTATACACAAGAGTTTGATCGTTATACACAAGAGTTTGATTGTTACACACAAGAGTTTGATTGTTACACACAAGAGTTTGATCAATGTTACACACAAGAGTTTGATTATTGTTGGAGAGGTTTTGAAAATGGCGGGGGAACCAACAAAAAAAAAAAGAAAGTATATATATATATATATATAGAATGTTCTCTACAGTTTCTCCATTAAACTTTGTAAACAGCCTGCCGACTGTCTTACACACACACATATATATATATACATATATATATTCTTTCCTCAAATGTCGTCAGACTTGTGTTGTTTTTGCTTGGGTAATGATACCGATATTCCATCCTTTGGCTCGGTAGCCGATGCACAGGATATGCTAAAACCATGTACAACTTGCTCCATATCTTGTCACCGCAAATGTTTACTTGACTGGTTCAACACCATCCCATCGGATCAGCTACATATTATTCAAGCAAGAAATGCTGGAAATATTACTCAACTAGCGAGACAGAATGGTGCTCATTTAGAGGACATTGGGATAGGTTCGCCGCCAATGAATTGGACAACAAATATTAGAATAAATTTATCGTCCCAAGGACTAGATGATTTGATTAGTAGCCTCACCGGTGGTAACGCGGGAGCTGGTGCAAATACAGGGAATAACGAAGAACCTCATTACAACATAGACGGCGAAAGAGAAGATTTGGCAGAAGAAGATTCTGCTTTTACCACTACTACTTCTACTACTACTGCTGCTGCTGCTAACCAAAGTATTGTAACGAGAAAAGGATACAATCAAGTCGTATATATCCTTGCTCTGTGTCCTCAATGCAAGAAGGATATAGTATTTGTGATGAGAAGATCCCAGCTCCTCTCTTTTCATTCCTCGATGAAGACGATTGTTTCTAGGCTTGTTCAATATGGTGGTATATTTTTAGGCTTTACTTCTGCGGTTACAGGTGTTGTATCCATGGGTTATATTGGACTAACTACTGCAGGTTTGAAAATGATGGATTGTATGATACCAGGCCCATTACTAGTTCGAATGCTAACTCGAAAATCTTTGCTAAGCTCCAAAAGCACATATACTTCCTTATCGAAAATGTTGTTTGGTAATACTGCTAGCTATGCAGTGGACAACTTGGAGCAAGCACTAGTGCAAGGTTTGATAGATCCATTGAAGTTTTCGCGTATACCCGTTTTGCCGATTGCAATGTACAGACTGAGGTCATCGTCAATCCTTAAAGTTTTGCTTGGCGGGGTAGGGGAAGATCCTCTCAGCGCTGCAGTAACAGAATTTATGGTAACAGGCTACATATCCTCCATTGCTGATCATTCACTTGCTCGTTCTTTCTATAAAAACATCAAATTGGACATCTCTCGGCTTTTGAAAGGATCTTTAAACATTTCACAGATTAATCCTGTGAAAGGCATTGACTTTTTTACCACCAACAATATAATATCTATGCTCATTCCGTTAAGGTGGGCCTATGATTTGTTATACAGGTTAACGTTCAACCGGGCATATTTTAATTTGACAATGAAATCAAGACCACGCGCTATAGCCAACACCTTGGGTGCCGAAGAAATTGATTATTTAGAGGATTTAAATTCACAAATCAACGACTGCGAGTCAGTTCATCATAACACATTTCAGAGAATCTGCAAAACAATTGACTCTCAACCGTGTTTGAAAATACCGATAATTTCATCAATATACAAGTATATATGCAAGAGGATCATTTATTTCCACAGCTTAAGAAAAACGTGGTGGCTGTATTTCAGGTTGAGACTTAGGTCAAATTTGAGGTACACATACGCCTGTTTAAAGTGTGATTACTCATCAACCTTATCTCACCAAAGCTCGATCTTCAAAGCAATGACTACCGTGTTTTGGCCATACGTTTCTTCCAAAGTAGGGTTGTTACTTTCACCAATATTATGTAAGCAACTACCAATGTTCAACGCATTGTCTCTGGAGAGGAAAATCCTAGTTGCTAATATCGTGGGTCTAGTGATTGTTGCTATATGTAAGGAATTTGTCGATCTTTACCTTGCTAAGAAGAAAGTTAGTCAAATGCAACAAATCGAACCACTAAATCTAAAGAACGGGAAGTCTTTGAATGAGCTAGCGTGGACATTTCTTGGAGCAGCGGCCTCTAGTGGCTTAAATACAGGGATCTCTGATAATGATGATGTTACAGAAGAGATATTCAATCAATTGAGCGAAGAGGATTCAGATAGCGGAAGAACGTTTCAACAATTAGTCGAGACAGTGCTGCGCAGTAACAATAATACTAACTTCCCTGGTAACTTTCCGCCATAGAGAAACCGAAACCGAAAAATGTCAGTTCATAGTATATTTTCCTACAATTTTTATTTTTTTTTTTTTTCTATTTTTTTTTTTTTTTTTGCTTTTGCTTTTGCTTTTATATTTATAGTTACATAGTAATGGTACAAGTCAAAATACAACACAACCTAAACACAGTAAATAAAGGTCCCTAAAAGATTTAATTATATATATGAAATCACAAAAAAAAAAAGAAGAAAAACCGCTTGAAGTATTCTCAGGCAAGATCAATCGTCATCGTAGTTTTCGTCCTCTTCAACTTTCCTCATTGGAGGTTCAACATTGTCATCTTTTGAAACAGTTTCTTTCTTTTCCTCCTTTTCCTCCTTTTCCTCTCCTGCCTCCTCTACCACCTCCGCCACTTGTCCTCCTTCTTTTTCTCCATTTTCATTTCCCTTCTTATCATCATTATCATCGTCATTATCATTATCGACGTTAACATTATCCTTGGCAGACTTAACCTTAGCATCGCCACCATCGAGTTCGTTGAGATCCTCTCTTTTCGTCTCTTCCTTTGCCTCCGCTTCGTTTTTCTCTTCATCTCCTGAAACTTTTTGCTGAGCTGCGTCATCCCTCACATCCGGTTGTTTTCTTTCTTCTGCAGCTTCAAGAACTGCTTCCTGTTTATCACTTTCTTTTTCTTCCTCTTCCTCTTTTTTGTCTTCTTTCAGCTCGGAATGCTCATGAGTTTTCTTATCGAGTGTATCATTATCGTTTTGCTGCACTGTTTCCTCGTTCTTTATGGCATCCGACGGTATTGCAGCCGATTCCACTTCGTCAGGCGACTCATAAGAGTTGTTTCCCTCTCTACTTGTAACGTTAGAAGAATATAGAGGAACTGCAGACACATTGGCTAAGGAAGGAGTATCTGATTTCGGCTGTTCACTTTTGCTGTCGCTTGCAAGAACAACACCAGCATCTTCAGTTTTATGCTTGGATTTAGGAATTGTTCTTACTTCACTCTGTATTGATTTCGATTCAGTCTTTTCATCTTTCAATTCTTGTTCTGTCTTTGTCAGCGTTGGAGACGTAGTAAACCCTTCATGTCGTTTTTTCAAAATCTTCCCTTCATCATGTTTATCTTCTAAATTGTGCTTCCCGTTGGTCTCATTGCTAGTTGAAGTAACATTTTTGCTTTCATCTTGAGCCATTGTTATAGAGGGTAATTGGGTAGCAGTAGGTGGGGGTTGTGGGAAAACTGAGACTTGTGTTGACTCTTTTGAATTAACCGCGGGAAGCTTATTGCCATCTTGCTGATCAGATTGTTCCAAATGGGAAACTTGCTGGGTATCCCTTTGAGTATTCTTAATCGGCTCCGGTTGCTCAGGATTTAAAATTCTTTTGTTATCATTCGACTGTTGATGAATAGCGGGCAAACGAGGTGATTCAATTTGTGAACTATTTTCGGTCTTTATTTCCATAGGCCTACCTTGTATACCTTCAGATGTCAATGGCTCGTTTGGAGGAAATTGAGAAGAAGTTGGTGGTTGATTAAGTGAGGGTAAAGTGGAGGCTTGCTGAGGGAGAGTAGAAGTAAATCTTTGTTGAACTTGTGGAGGTCGTTGGGAAAGTTGCGTTTGAGGTTGCGACAGTTGTTGTGGTTGTTGCAATTGCTGCGGTTGCTGAACTGGTGTTGATACGCTCGATTGTTGTCCTTGATAATGTGATAGTCTTGCTATCAAGCCAGGCTGTCCCTGTTGTATTTGTTGTTTCTGTTGTTGTTGTTGTTGTTGCTGCTGTTGTTGCTGTTGCTGCTGTTGCTGTTGTTGCTGTTGCTGTTGTTGTTGTTGTTGTTGTTGCTGTTGTTGTTGCTGTTGTTGTTGTTGCTGTTGTTGTTGCTGTTGCTGTTGTTGTTGCTGCTGCTGGAGTTGTTGTTGAACAAGTTGGTGTTGTGGTGGCGCAGGCAACTGCGAGGCAGTTTGATGTGCTACCAACTGGGGAGGAGGTGGTGGTGGTGGCTGCGCTGCTGCTGCCGCAGAACTGTTCAAAGGTCCAGGCATTTGGCCATGTTGTTGATGTTGAGGAAGTTCACCTAGTGGCTGACCATGTTGTTGTTGATGTTGCTGCTGCTGCTGCTGTTGCTGCTGGGTTTGCTGCAACTCAGACGGATGAGGAACACTGCCACCTGGGATTTGCTGGCCGGTTTGCTGATTACTTTCCAAAACCATTCCCTGTGGTAGTCTAGGTTGTTGAATACTAGGCGGAGGTTGAGGCGGATGTGTGTTTCCCTCCTGTTGGTATTTGATCAATTGATCCAACCTCGCCTTGATATGTGGATTGCCTGGGTCTAGTCTTTCTGCTTGTCTATATGCATCCAACGCGTCACTAATTTGGTTGTTACAAGTCTCATACAACGTACCCAAATCATACCAAACTTCACTAATATACGGATTTAAGCGTATGGCTCTAGTATATGCATCTAAAGCGTCACGGTATTGACTAATCTGATAGTATAATACACCAATTGAGCACCAAAATGTCGGGTTTCTGGAATCCCTATTCACCGCTTGTTGGAAAGCTTCGTAAGCCGCATTGAAGTCACCTCTTATCATGTGAACTCTTCCTAAATAATACCAAGAATGTGCGTCACTTTGGTCAATTTCCAATGATTGACTTAGATATTTCAAAGCAATATTTAAGTCCTGTTGGAATGGTTGAATATCTTGATGTGAATGCGACCCATTACTTTGTCTGGGTGTTGGTGGATTCGATTCGGCTTGCGAATAAAGACAACCCAACTGTTGTAAGACTTTGGCGTGCTGAGGGTTAACTTGTAAAACTTTTTCATATGCTTCCTTGGCCCCATTCCAATCCTTTTGCTGTTCTAATACCGAACCAATTTGAAACCATACATCTGGCTGAGTAAGTGGATGAGGAGGGTTATTCAAGATATATTGGAAACATTCCAAAGCAGGTTGTAGTTTTCCTTGATGCTTATAGATTATTCCCAAACGGAAATAAATTTCGTTAGCCTTGTCAAAGTTTGGTTCCAATTCCAAAACACGCACAAATGCTTCTTCTGCATATTCCAACGACCCGTATCTATCATACAATATACCAATTCCGTGCCACAATTTTGGAACATTTGGATTTTCCAAATAGTACAAAGCGCGCTGGTAAGCCGCATATGCTCTTTGCAAATCATCCAACATCAAATAACAATGACCCAATAAACCCCATGTTTCTCCATTTTCTGGATTAAAATTGAGAGCTTGTTCGTATAGCTCAGCAGCCTTGAAAAAGACATCTTTTGAGCGGTACACATTAGCCAATTTTGTCAAAATCTCGGGATTATTTGGAGAGTGTCTCAAAGCTGAGTCGTATGAGGATAAGGCGCGCTCCAAATCACCCATGCTTTCTGCCAAAGAGCCAACCGCTAGCCAAGTAGATGCAGTCGTATCGCTGAGAGTGTTGGCAGCGGGATTTCGAGGTGTCTGACCCTGTTGTTGTTGTTGTTGTTGTTGTTGTTGTTGCTGCTGCTGCTGTTGTGCTTGTGCTTGTGCTTGTGCATGTGCTTGCTGGTTAGCTGTAGCTTGTGCTGCAGCAACTATTATTCCAGGACCACTGGGATGTGGAGGTGGTTGTGGCGGTTGCTGTGGTGGTTGCGGTTGCTGCAGTTGAGGTGGAGGTGGAGCTACTTGTTGTTGTTGTTGTTGTTGTTGTTGTTGTTGCAGTTGTTGCGATTGTGATTGTGGTTGAGCTTGAGGGTTCATTACAACAGCAGGATTTTGCCCAGCAGGATGCACACCGCCATTTAGCGAGGGTGGCGGTTGCTTATTCCCAATTACAATTGAATGCGAAGCGTTATACATAATCTTTGTATGTGATTAGATGGTTGTTCCTTTTTTAAGGAAAAAAAAAAAAAAATTTTTTTTGAGTTTGGTGTTGTTTGATTATACAATTGTGGATGGTGAAAGAATTGGATTTACTTTCAACTATTGGGACAACACGGATTTGATTGTTGGTGTAGAATAACTTTTTATGTAAAAGATATCCTGTATACTTTTTCTGCACACTTTTTCTGCACACACTTTTTCAATATCACTTCTATGCGTTCTTTGTAACCTTCAATGTTGATGTAGTATCAGCGTAGCTTACTTTTATGGGTAGTATAAGCAGTGAGTAAAATGAAGTATGCCAGTTGTGTTATAAGAATGGCGAATGCTGGCAGAGACGTGTGTGTGTGTGTGTGTTTGGTAGTGGTTATGATGGTGGTAGGGACGGGCAATAGGTGGCGATAGTGGCGGGCGACGGTAAATGATGATGAAATATACCCAATAGTAAAAAGTAATTAAACTGTATATTTTATTGGTGGTATTTTAGTTGTTGACAGCTTTTTCTTTTCTCGCTCGTTTTTTTTTTTTTTTTTTTTTTAATTCTGGAACTTCCCATAAAAAAATTTCTGCTTAATCGTCGCTACCATTGGTAGCACACAAAATGCTTATTTGTTTTTTAAACCATAAGAACATCACCAACCTTATTGACGAGGGAAAAACAAAAGAAGAAAAAAAAAAAAAGAATACTATTAGAGTAGGCACTATTAAAAAAGAATACTATTAGAGTAGGCACTATTAAAAAAGAATACTATTAGAGTGGGCACTATTAAAAAAGAGTAACACTGTTAAGGTTGAAGAGAGGGCAATAACATCAATCAAGACAGATGGTACTATCGAAATCCTATTGAGTGTATAAACCTTGTAGCAGAGTTTAGACCAAGATTGTTTAGTGAGAAATGGCATAATTAGTCCCACTAAAATGGATACACTAACAAGCACAATAATTGTAATGTATAACCTGTAAATAATTTGTTTCGCAGCAAAGTAAATTGAGAGACAAAGAGAGTGCTGGTCAAAACAAAAAAAAAAAAAAAAAAAATATTAAACTAATGCACCCCCCCTCACACAAAATATACCAGGCACCAAGTTTGGTTAAACTTTGCCTTTTTTTTATACTTTTCTACTTTTATCAAAAAAAAGCAAAAAAAAGGAAAAGCAAGAATAGAGACTTTCTGTTTCAAGGTCTTCTCCTCTAACTTTAAATTTGTCGTTTTATTTAGTTTCACTTTTCTTTAGTTGGTTTGCCCTTAGTTCTTTATTCCTTGATAATTTGTACTTTAATTTATTTTTTTTTTTTTTTTTCTTCCAAGTACAACCGCTGATCCTTTTTATTTTCCGTTTATACGATTTGTGCATATTAGCACGCCTTATAGCGCAAGTGGGGGTGCAATCACCGGTATAGGGGTGCACTGTTTAGTTCACAGGACCCATCCATCTAGTGAGTCACGTGAACTGTAAAAACAACTATAAATAATTTAGTCACATGAACTAAAAATAATTTAGTCGCTTATATCGTCACGTGGTCATATGATTAGATGTTGGATATAATACATTAATTTAGTCACGTGGACAAATATATACTGTTTGGCAATTTGAGTAAAAAAAAACTCTATTAACCCCAACATTCCCCTTATCTCCGACACTATCGAGCGAAGCGAGATACTCCACTAGGAAGCGGAGCGAGCTAGTGGAGTTGGAGATAGTGTTGCTGGTGGAGTTGGAGATAGTGTTGCTGGTGGAGTATCTCGCTTCGCTTCCTAGTGGGGTATCTCTTTCTCACAAGTGCAGTTTTTTATCCCTTTGGTCTCTAAATGAACTATTGAAACCTAAAAGACTATTCAAATCTTTTGCCCACTGGTTTGGGTTTGTTGCGACACACCATATACCATCTCTATTGTTACTGTATTTAGACCCATTCACCATTTCCTCATCTAGATGTTGCTGTTGCTGATGTCGTATAGCTGCCGCCTCCGACGTGATGTGTAATTCATCTCCCGGACGTAAATCCTCTTGACTTATTCCATCTATAGTTAACTCTATAGTCTCACTTCTATTGTGTTCGGATAACTTGATCATTATGTCTGATGTGCTAGGCAAAATCAATGGACGAAAAGACAATGACCGAGGACATATTGGCGTTAATAATATACAAGGAACCGCTGGGTGTGTTATTGATCCACCTGCTGACAACGAGTACGCAGTTGAGCCTGTTGGCGTTGAGAATATTAAGCCATCAGCATATGTTGTAGTGAAAAACTCATCATCAATATATATGTCTATTGAAGTCAAATTAGGAGAGCTACCGCGATGGATTGTTATATCGTTCATTGCATGAACCATTTCTCTCTTGTCTTTTTTGGTTGCTAGCTCCTCATTCTTGAGGGCAATGTCTTTGCTGTCTTTGCTGTCTTTGCCGTCTCTGCTGTCTCTGCTGTCTTTGCCGTCTTTGCTGTCTCTGCCGTCTCTGCTGTCTTTATCTTGGTTGCGCAAAACGTGACACTCTAATCGGTTTCTATACAATGCCTTCGATCTGCCTTCATAAACGGTTTTAAAGCATTTCATACTGTTTTTATAATCAAACGGCAAGAGGAACCCCAAAGTACCCATGGCAAACGACAAAACGGGAGGAACTCGGACATTTGAAAATAAAGAAACTCCTCTCAATATTGTACCATCTCCTCCCAAAGTTATCATCAAATCTATCTTGCCAATAATGTCTTTATTATTACCTGTATAAATGACATGGTTAATAGACTTGTCGAGTAATTTGTTCAAAGCAGTTACTTCATTAACCAACTCGTCAGCTACATCTTCATTGACAACAACATTAACCAGCGGATACAGAGCATGTAAGTGGTCAATCAATTGAATCATGGCTTCTCGAACCGTTGAGTCCCATGGCTTTTTCACCATCAATACATTTTTGGGTGGCGAGTCTCTCCAAATGATATTATAAAGTCTACTATGTTGTGTCTTTATATATTCGGGAAGTCTTGCCGGTGGGAGGTTTTTGCATGATTCAACGGTCAAACTTGTTTGTTGTTCTGGTGGACTAGTAGCGTCGGAACCAGTAGCATCGGAACTAGTAGCGTCGGAACCAGTAGCGTCGGAACTAGTAGCGTCGGAACTAGGAGTATCGGAACTAGGAGCGTTTGAAGTACTGTGTGACATCCAACTTGCTTGAACGTATGGAGTTTGCCGCGGGCACTTGAAAAATCTATTTAATAAAAGTGGCCTGTTACGAAATACCTTAAACATAAAACACGCTTGCCATTTGGCTCGGATCTATGTAAATATATATATATATATATTTATATATTAGTATATTTATTATTTATTTATTTATATGAGCAGATGTACCTACGAGGCAGATTGAGACAGATTGCTGATTGAAAATGGACTCCTTTCCGTTACTTCTTTTTGGGATTCTACTTGTCTCTCTCTTTGCACCGTACTATACAAAAGAAACTTTTGACACATCACACCACCATATAAAAATATTTTCCATCTATCACAAAGCTTCACCAGTTCAATCTTTTTACAAATACAAATATATTTATATATATATATATATATATGTGACAATTACAAAACAAACTACTACTACCAGAATAATAAAAGTAACTTGCTAAACGCTGTTATTCAACACTGTTGTTCAACTCTTGTATCTCTTTCAACTCTTCTTCTGTCAATTCGGTGGTGGTAGCATCGCCTTCCGTTAGGTTAGCCTTATCCTCAATTACATCATCCATTTCAACATCCTCTTTCACACTCAGGTTCCCGTTAGTTTCTTCCTCTTTCACACTCAGGTTCCCGTTAGTTTCTTCCTCTTTCCCACTCAGGTTCCCTTTAGTTTCTTCCTCTTTCACACTCAGGTTCCCGTTAGTTTCTTCCTCTTCCTTTTCTTTCTCTTCAGTTATCATCTTATTATTTTCATTAGAGGTATCCTCCACTATATTTATATTTCTCTCCTCCTTATCTTTATCATCTTCCTCGTAAAACTCATTTTCTGGCTGTATTTGTGCATCCCTGGCCATTTCTGACCCTCCCTTTGTATCAATAGCCATTGCAGTGTCTTCTTCAACATCCCCCAAATCCTCAGGATCGTTGGGCACATTATTCATCTGCACAGATGGCGCATGCTTGGTATTCTCCAAATTGGTCAATATGGTCGTCAATACTTTATCTAGAAACTCAGGTGAGTTTTGATTGTACATATTGGATGATCGAACTTCTAAAGTATAGTTGGGCGCATAGTACTCGTAGTACTCGTTGTATGGTAGTTCAGTGGGCAACTTGACATTGTTTAACAATCCCGACTCAAACGCCCAAGTTCTCGCAACATTTCTCATTGTATAGCCGCCTCCACCCAATACCATTAGTGGAATATTGAAGGACTTGACAAAATTTATACAATTGGCATGGCCCTCCATCGACAAATTGAAACATCCCAACCTGTCGCCACTTAACGAGTCACCGCCACATTGCAAGACAATAGCTGAAGGTTGATACCATTCAACTATTTTGCTAATCAACGGCTCAAAAATGGATTTGTATGTAGCGTCGTCTATACCATCTCTCAAGGGAACATTTACACTATGATACTTTCCTTTTCCCACGCCTATATCTCTTAGTTCTCCTGTACCTGGGAAAAACTCTCCATACTTGTGGAAGGAGCAAGTCATCACTCTATCCGTTGTGTAAAAGGCCTCCTCGACACCGTCACCATGATGAACATCAATGTCAATATACAAGACCCGTGGATGATACCTCAACAACTCGATGATCCCCAATACAATATCGTTCAAGTAACAAAACCCTGAGGCTTCAGATTTCTTAGCATGGTGCAATCCACCAGCATAGTTGATAGCAACATCACATTTGCCTCTATTCAATCGTGCTGCACCTTCCATAGATCCTCCTCCACTTATGCCACAATATTCAAACAACCCATCAAACACTGGGCAATCATCCCCAACATTGAATTTAACACTCTCCTTGCTAAACAAGTCTAAATTATCGGGTGAGACTCGGCTTATAAAATCTATATATTCATCGGTATGAAATTGACACATCTCCTGTTTTGTTGCCGGTTTGGCTCTGTATATCTCCATTTTTTTATATAGTCCATAATTCATAATCAACGAATGGGCCATTCTTATTCGATGAGGCTTCATCGGGTGACCTGCACCATAAGCATAATTTCCGATATCGGCATCATAAAAGTAGGCTATCCTCTTTTTTTGAGTTGGATCGACCTTCAAGTCATCAAACGGAAGCTGAACGTACATGAAATTTGAGAGGTGGGGGGGGGGGAGGGGAAGAGAGGAAAGAACGTCAGAAATTTTTTGGAGTGATAGATTTGAAAAATTTGTTGATAAATACAAAATTTCCAAATCTCGGATTCTCGAGTTTTTCTATCTACTCAAAATTTGCATTTTGCCTATAAATCATGAACCACCACTGCTAATACTACTACTGCTGCTGCTACTGCTGCTACTCCTCCTCCTCCTCCTCCTCCTACTACTACTACTACTACTACCACCGGTATATCCTCCTGCCTTTCTCTCTTTTAGAAATGAATAAATAATGCACACAGAATTTGATTATATCTCTGCTTTTTTTTTTCCTTTTTCTTATTTTCTTACTACACCTCCATTATGATAGGATCTCTTTCCCTTCTTAACCTATTGGAATAATCCCTCAATTGCGCATTCAATTGGTTTTGTAAAGCTGTGTTGTTGCACCATTTTTGGTAAACTTCTTCATTTACTCTGAAATTGATTCCATTATTAAATCCTTTATCAGCCACCTTCTTGTTTATATCAATAGGGAATAACCATGTTTTCCAACTTGTCCCCAAAGTCAGCTTCAAATTCTCTCCAAGGCCTAAATCGAAAATATTGGCCAATTTTTTCTGTTTCCCATTACAGTCAAACTCGTAATTGTTTCTGTTAATTCCTCTATAATTCCACCTCTGTTCTTGAAACTCAATAGTAGTCAAGTTTCTTGAGGCTAGATATAGTGAGAAACACGCAAATACAGTCACCGAGAGGGCAAATGTCGCGGATAATGCGCATAGTACTATCAAGTTGATGGAGATGTACTGGTCTTGGTACGCCTGGGAAACAAAGAACCTGTATATGATAACGCCGGTAACTATGAATATGTACCAGCAATATATGGCAACGTAACAAAGAAACTGTATGAAAAACTTGTAGTTGAAGAACCCAATACAAATTGAGAACCATGGACAGTAATGATCCATTTTCAAAATACACTTACCAGAACTGGAGCAGTGGTGTGTACGATCGGGTTTCCAGCAATCACACTTGTTGCAATATCTAAAACCTTGAGTTCCACCCACTTTTAAAGTATGTATCGTCATGAACTCTGGCGGTTGCTTATCTAGTACAGAGGTTTGTTTATATGGATTTTCAGTAGCCAAAACCGAATTCAGCCCCCTCAATTGAGGATAGTCCAAAGGCGAACCTGGACCAACATATATGACTTTGTAGTATGTGTATATACACAAGCAATACAAGAAAATCTGAATTAAATATTGAATGAATACCTCGAGACTAGTCGCAATATATTTAGGCACGATAAAGCACATCACTAGTAAAGCCCATGTTAGAATCACTGTACAAAATACCTTGGGGAATAAAGATGCTACAATACAGCACCATTTCTCACACAGTAGTAGCGAAACTCTCCACATCTTTAACCCACACACACTGAAAAATGTCAATGTTTAAAGAAAATACAATTTTTATTCCCCGTTCTACCAAATCTATAAAATCTCTCTATCAATATAAAAAAAAAAGTTGACGTTATTCACTCTATAGCTTTTGTTATTCACTCCATACCTTTTGTTATTCACTCCATACCTTTGGTTATTCACTCTATACCTTTGGTTATTCACTCTATACCTTTGGTTATTCACTCTATACCTTTGGTTATTCACTCTATACCTTTGGTTATTCACTCTATACCTTTGGTTATTCACTCTATACCTTTGGTTATTCACTCTTTACCTTTGGTTATTCACTCTTTACCTTTGGTTATTCACTCTTTACCTTCTTGTTCTTCTTCTGTTGAAACTTTGTAAAAGCTTCAAAGGCGATACCACCAAATACCAAACTGACCCCGATCCATTGGTTGAATTTTAAATGATGGCCAAATAACACAACGCTTAGTATCATACTTAGCATTTTTCTCGTAACAGTTGCTGTGATGAGTACTATAGAGTCGAATTTCTCTAGTATGATAAAGATGAATACCTGCCCTATAGCTCCGCAGCCAGCGAATACAATTATATCGTAGAATAACTCTGGATACTTGTTGGCAAAGCTCCAGCTGCTTTTAATTTCATCAAATTGAAACATAAACGTATACCCTGCTGTTAATAAAAAGACAAATAGGTTTAAAGTACACATTAGGTTTGCGCTGGTAAACTTCTTTTCCTTCTTCAACGAAATCTTGAATATCTGATCTTGTGTCGAGTTGGTCAACCCATCAAGAAGCATGCTCCCAATTAGATAAACCAAGCCCAACAATGTATTACCATCGTTGAGCTTATTTTTTTCTTTGGTATGAGCAAAAGTGAAAATTGTGACTCCTAGGGTTACCAGCCCGGCTACAACGTACTTGTAGAAAGGAAATTGTGTTCTGTATATAATGAAATGAACAAACATTACGGGAATCAATTTGCAAGACTTGGCCAAAAGATAGGCCAAGTAGTCTAAATGTGTAAGCGATTTATAGCCAATTGGAGATGCCAAGCTCGAGCATATGGAAATAAGGAACACTAATTTCAAAAGACGAATACCCTGTTTGCCATTGTGAATAAACACATCAAACGGCGACGCCTTGATGGCAACAATGGTGTAGATATATCCAACAAGAAACGCAAGAAACGCTTGTACAATGTTGATTACTAACGGGGCATAAAAATAATCATTGGTGCCATATGGCTTTGTGTTGATTCGTTCTTGCAACACAGACCATGTTAAAAAGGTACTATATAGACCGAGAACACATACAATTAGAGACCAAACCAGTCCTTCTTGTTTCATATCGTATGGAACATACAATTACACATGTACACCAACACACACTTCAAGTGAAAAATTAAAAATGATTTGTACACCTTGTCAAAAGTTTTTTTTTGTAAACAATAATATATGCGTTATATAAGGAGGATACAATGAAGATATATATAAGGGGGATACAACAAAGATATATATATATATATAAATATATATATATATCAATTTCTGGTAACTAATTTCGAAACAATCCAAATAACCCACCACCTTTCTTTGTAGATTTTGTATCATCTACCAGTGGCTCATTTACCTTTGGTTTATTTACCACTGGTTTTGGTTTATCCGAATATCCAATATAATTGTATGCTATATCAAATAATACTGGTTTGCACATTATTGGCTCAATCTTTTCAAGGTTTATCACCGATAAACCATTCGGATACTTGTTGATGTTCTCCACTGTGTAACTTGAGCACGTTGCTTTCCTTGTTTGCTGAAACTGAGCACTTATTTGACTTTGCAAAATTTTCTTTTCAATGTCAGATTTGAAGAGTGCAACTTCATTGTTTTGACTCACTTCAAAGGGGAATTCTACTTTGAAATACTCTTCTCCCTTTGTAGTAGACCTCTCATAGAGGTTCTTGTTTATATAATCGTAGATTTTCAAACTCTCGGCAAATTTGCTGTTAAATTGATACGATTCAGCAATAACTGCATCCTTTTTGTACTCATAGTATTGTCCCAAATGCTCAAGTGAATAATGCAAGTCTTCGTCGTTGTAAACACCAGGTAACTCTTCCAATTCTTTTACAGTCTGTATGATGCCTTGGTATATTTTGACAATGTCCTTATTGTTCTCTAACTTTTTGGTCAACAATTGGTCAATCAATAGCAAATCTCTTTTCAATTTCGTAAATAATAAGTTGTAATTCAAATATGTTGACAAAATAGCTCTATTTTGCCTCTGTTCAAAGTCGTCATCGTCCTGATTCTTTTCTATATCTTTCTTGTGCATATCCAAGATACTAATCCACGAAGCTATCACTGTGTCAAACTGATTGGCATCGTGGAATTTCAACCATTCTTTATCGTTATTCAACTCCTGAATCTTGAGAGCAATCTCATCGTTGTAGATTTCCGCTGTGTGTCCTCTCCATTCAACATCTTTCTTCAAATCTAAAGTGGAAGTAATGTCCTCAGTGAACTTTGGGTCTATCAACGCAAGCGCGGGACTCAAGTTGGGGAAAAGTTGTTCATGACAAAATCTTCTAGACAACGTCTTTATGTCTCCAAATGCCTTCAATTGAGAAGCGGCCAAGTTTAGCGAAGGGTCTATCGATACTTCAATTAGCTCAGTGCACAATGTTTTGATAAATGAGTCTTTATCTGTATCTTGCAAGTACAAATAGTCTAAACAACATCTTGCTATTGAATATGCATTAAGAGCCTTTAACCATTGTTTAGTAATGATGGCTAGTTGACCGGCAATTAATGCTGCATAGATGTACACTTCGATCCGTTTCCTTGTATCCTTGTCGTCTGTTGTCAAGTTGATCAATTTATAGGCATGGGTTAATGCTCGTTTAATCTTTGTCTTTAATAAAGTTTCATGGCTAGAAGCCTTGTTAACTTCCAAATTGCTCTTAATTTCTAAAGCATAAAGCATATCTCTTTCTGCTAGTAACAACACAATTAATCCAAACTTGTCGTTCTCCTTGTATTGTGCTTGACTAATTTTGCAAGTCTTTTCCTTTGCTCGATAATTCTTAGTATCCTTAGTGACTAAATCCAACTCATGACGCAATTTCAGTATCCTTTTGTTCACCCTGTTTCTTTGTCTTTGGAAATTCTTTGGAATGACCAAATAGGCACTTAATCTGGCACCTAATGTGGTGTTTAACGGGCTGTCCATAACTAGAGAATCCCAAACCTCTATGTTGAAGAAAAAAGAAAAATGGTGAAAAAAAAATGATAATTTTCTCATTCTCTTTGCTTTAACTGTTTTTTTCAGTTGAGAAGCTCGTTAAGCTCCACTATCGAGCAGATCCACTATCGAGCAGGGCGAGATAGTGGAGTAACACTTTGTATCTTGTTGTCTTGTACATCTATATATAATCAACTCTTTTGAAGGTCCACTATCGAGCGGGGCGAGATGGTGGAGTAACACTTTGTATCTTGTTGTCTTGTATGTCTATATATAATTAATTTTAGAATTCCAAAGTACTTTAGAATAGATTGACTACGCCCAATACTTCAGTATACTTATCTATAATTTAATATGTATATAAATTGTAATCTATATTCTAGTGTGACACTATCGGGCGACACTATCAGGCGACACTATCGAGCGAAGCGAGATAGTAAAGCACACTAACTAGCCCCAAAGACACTAGGGAGCAATGCGAGATCACTATTAAACAGAGCGAGATCACTATTAAACAGAGCGAGATCACTATTAAACAGAGCGAGATCACCACTGGGTAGAGCGAGATAGTGGAGCACACTGACTAGCTGCCACCGACACTTACCTCGCTCTGTTCGATAGTGGAGCACACTGACAAAAGTATGTGATAGAGATAACTATATATTGACTTTAATATTCCAGGTGATTATAATCTCTTGATTGAATATATAGAATATTAGACTCTTTTATATACATTTTATTATGTAATTAATACAAAATAGAATTATTAACATAGATTAAAATCTATAATATAGGACATAAGCTCCACTATCGAGCAGAGCGAGGTAGTGGAGTAACACTTTGTATCTTGTTGTCTTGTACGTCTATATATAATCAACTCTTTTGAAGGTCCACTATCGAGCAGGGCGAGATGGTGGAGTAACACTTTGTATCTTATCATCTTATACGTCTATATATAATCAATTCTTTTGAAGCTCCACTATCTCGCCCTCGATAGTGGAGTAACACTTTGTATCTTATGCGCCTATATATAATTAATTTTTTTACTCTTTTGAAGCTCCACTATCGAGCAAAGCGAGATAGTGGAGCTTGATTGTGGGTTTTTCTTTTTTCCACTCATTGATTAAAGACATTGCTGTCATCAACGGATAAATTAATAGCCTGACACATTACCATTTCCACAGCAGATCAATTTTGTAACACATCAATTCTCAACACAGGGTTCCACAAGTTTACAATCCTTAAACCAGAAAAAAACAAATACAAATACCAACAAAGCCGTATTAAGTTTCTGTGGCTCCCCTTTTTATTTGCTAATGTTCTTTTTTCCATATTCTCCGGAATTCCACTTTAGTAAAAATTCCCCTATGCATGTAAAACACTAAGGCATTGTAAATACATAAGGCAATGTAAATATATAAGGCAATCTAATTCATGAAAACTTTTTCGAGAAACATCTCTAACGTCTTTTTTAGTTTAACCAAGTAAGGTATATATAAAAAATGTCGGCTCAATTGTCAATTAATACCAAAAAAATTACTTTATATAACGGTAATAAGATCCCAGCTGTTGGTTTGGGAACGTGGCAAGCTACAGAAGATGACGTAGCTTACAAATCTGTTCGTACCGCATTGAAAAATGGGTATAGGCATATTGACACAGCGGCCATATACAAGAATGAAGAACAAGTGGGCAAAGCAATTGCAGAAGCCGGTATTCCTAGAAACGAATTGTTTGTTACTACAAAGTTATGGAACGCCGACCATAAAAAGGTTGAAGCTGCTTTGGATGAATCTTTGAAGAAATTGCAACTCGATTATGTTGACTTGTACTTAATTCACTGGCCAGTCTCCATTAACCCGGAAACCAACAAACCATATACTGACCATGACTTTGTCGATACTTGGAAAGCTTTACAAAAGCTTTACAAGAAAGGTGAAAAAGTAAAGGCAATTGGTGTTTCGAACTTTACCATAAAAAAGTTGGAAAAACTCTTGAATGCTGATGGTGTTGATGTTGTTCCATTGGTAAACCAAGTTGAAACTCATCCGTTATTAACTCAACCTGAATTGTATGATTACTTAAAGTCTAAAAATATAGTTTTAGAAGCTTATTCACCATTAGGTTCAACCGATTCCCCATTATTCAAAAATGAAGTAGTTGTCGATATCGCCAAAAAGAATAAGGTCGAACCAGCGCAAGTTTTGGTTTCTTGGGCAATTCAAAGAGACACTGTAGTTTTACCCAAATCCGTTACTGAATCAAGAATTATTTCAAATATCAAAACCTTTACATTGTCTAAGGAAGATTTTGAGGCCTTAAATAACCTTTCTGACAAGTTTGGAGTTGTAAGAACATGCAATCCGCCATTCAACAATTTCGATTGATTGATTTAAACGCATACAACGTACAGATATATATATATATATAAATATATATTATTGTGTATAGATGGCAATAGAAGAAATAGAAAAACTTTAGCAGAACTGTAGCAGAACTTCAAAAAAACTTCAAGGAAGCTTCAGAAGAACCTTTGAAGAACCTCAGAAGAGCTTCAGAAGAACCTTTGAAGAACCTCAGAAGAGCTTCAGAAGAACCTTTGAAGAACCTTATAGTCAAAATCTTCATATTTTCTCAATCAATATACCCAGTTTATTCTCTTGAACATTTTCCAATTAAAAATAAAAAAGAAGAAAAGAAAGAAAAAAAAAAAATTATCAAATTACCAAAGCTCTTGAAGCTTCACTATCATGCTACGAATAGACATATTCCCCATATTCTACCTCGAGGTGCTTCTATCGTTGATATTTGTTGTGTCGATAGCGTTGATAGTGTTGTCTCTTAAAACGCAGCCGCAACTGCCCGAACTTGTAGAACATGAACGGTTCAATTTCATAGAGTTGAAAAACTACCGTCCTACAGATATACTTGCGGTAAGCACAAACTCCAGTTGCCCCTTGGTGGTGAGTTTTGAATTGAACCACACGGTCACGGCTTGGTCTCCCAAGGACAAGAGCAAGCACGTTTTGTCCAAGGACTTGTGGCCAATAAATCATATAGCCGTTAGTGATGATGGCATTTATATCATCTTTGTTAGTTTTGGCAAGCAAACAGTGTATTGTTTTGAACACTTTAAGTTGAAATGGACAAAGCCAAATTTGAACTTGAACAGGAACTCAAAGATATTGGTGTCCTTTTTTAGAGAAAGAACGGTGCCTGGTTATTTAACAAGGAAAATTATGAAAAGAGGTGATAGTTCTGCTTCATTAACAACATTGAGTTCCAGCTCTAAAGTTAACGGCAATTTTCCACCGCCTCCAAACCCAATAACTCAACAAAGGACTAGTGTTGTTTCCAAAAACGCTCAAGTAAAGGATGATTTTATCATGATAACCCATAACGAAATAATCACAGTTTCATGTAATGACGGCGATGTCAAGAGTGAACCAGTCGAGTACCTCATAGCAGCTACAAAGCTTAAAACACCGCGAGTCAATGATAGAATTATTTGTCAAAACAAACAAGGAGACCTCACTGTAGGAGTATCTATCAACAACAAATTTGTTTACAAAAAACTCCCCCTTAAGCAAAACTACATGGGTTCAAACAATCCATTTACAAACATCCGTGTGCGTAATCTCAACCCCGCAACAATAATACCCGTAGACTTTATAGGCATGATTGTTGTGGTTCAAGACTTGACGGCCAGATTAATTGACGTCAACACGGGGATTGTATTAAAGACATTTAATATAGGTCAGTTCAAAGCAGGAACATTCAAAGTGGCACATCTGCAGCCGACGCATTGTAAGTTTTGCGGTTGTGTTTCAATGAATTCGTTTTCATTAATTTATCAAGATGATAAGAACACGCTCATTGTTCACACTTTCAAAATCGATACCCAGCGGTCTAAAAACAGCATATGTTTTCGTGTTGAAAGAGATCCTAGAGAGATTCGGTGTCTAGGGTTCAATGTGGTGAGTGAGTACCAGTTTTTGTACGAAAATATAAAGTATTGGCAAGTCACTGATGTCAATACCATCATTGGTCTTGAACAATTATCACGTATTTCTGAACCAACAGTCCAACCCACTAGTGGCTGTATTGGTGGTGCTGTGGCTGCTAGTGCTAGTGCTGCGGCTGCGGCTGCGGTTGCGGCTGCTGCTGGTGGTAGTGGTAGTGGTGGTGATCAAGGTCTAACCTCCCTACGTTTGCGGAAACAAAAAACTAAAATCTCTAGAGACAAATACGAAGGGATCATAATTTCGCTTGTTGATGGTAAAAAAGAATCTTACCCTATAGATATAGATCAGCCAATTTTATCACTGGCAAAATATGGATTCAAATCAATTTTGATTAATTTTGGTGATTCAATGAAGATTTTTTATCAAGGAACAAACAAGCTAATAGAGAATGACTTGTATTATAACAATCGTAACAATGGCAGTGTTAGTAGTTTGTTATTCTTTAATAAGAGAAGAAGTAGATAATTTGATAAGTGAAGAAGGAGGGTATGATTATGCATTTTGGTAAACTAACAAGTAGCTCATCAATGGCTCTCCACTTTTCTTTACTAGCATTCTAGTTTGTTTTCTTCTTATTTTTGGACCAAACTTTTGTAAACTTTTGAGTGACTCTTGCAAAAAAAAAAAAAAGATAAAATAAGATACAAGTATTTTGACAAGAAATCATACTAATTAACTCCTTCAGAATGAGTTTTTTCATTAGTATCTTACCCAAGGGTATCTCAAGTCTTTTTTTGGGAAAACCTTTTGGGGTCCTTGTCCCAGGATTAAATGTGCTTGCAGAATGGCTGCGAAAGGATTCAAGTTAAGAGCTGCGCTACCGGTTTGAAAGAATGTCGTTTAACCATTGTCTTTTCTTTTTGTATGTAGTTTACTAAGAATAGCCAGGAAGTGATCTTGTTAAATTAATTGAAATTTAAATGAAAGGATAAACTAACCATTCTTCATGGATGATTCAGATAAAAGGTCCTGGTATGTTAACAAGTTGATGTTATTAATCATTGCTCTTAACTTTTGCAAATTACCCCTGGTAGCTCAGTTGGTTTAGAGCATGAGACTGTAATATGAAATAGTTCCGCAATCTTGTGGTCGGGAGTTCAAATCTCCTCCGGGGGAATTTTTTTTTTCTTTTTTTTTTTTGAACAAACTCAGCTTTTATAGGCAAGTTTGACAAACATAATTGAAGGTTATAGCTACATCCTTCTACTTTATAAAACGCCCTATGTAAAATGCTAACATATAATTGCTAATGTTCTCTCCCTCTTTCCCTGTCTTTACTCATTATACATACATATATATATATAGATACATATTTTTACACATATATTTACTCTCCTTCTAATTAGAGCTAATTAATAACCAACAACTCCATAGACATGACAAACAGGTAATAACAAATCCACCCCAAACAATTACGTTATGGAAATTGGAAGGCTGGGAAAATCGATAAAATAATAGGTTAATGCCAATCAAATTGAATAAAAGTGAAACAATCATTCCAAAAATTAAACACATAACCAATCCTAAATTATCCCAGATTAGAAATCGGACATCTTCACCCGTACCATCGTCTAGCGAAGAGTTGAATATTGAATAAATGATTCCCAGTTGAATTCCAGATAAAAACAATGAAATTGAAGTCACTGCAAAATAAACATAGGATAGCGCATGATCATAATCAAGTTTATATTTATCTTGATATTCGTTTCTTTGAAAGTATGACATTGGCTCTTCGTTAATAGAATCATAGCCAGAACATACTGGGACAACATTATCATTTTGATAAATTGAAAGCAACTTCGTGTATGAGTCTAGTTCGTCTTCATGGTAAAATGGATTTTCACAATATTTTAATTTCTCCTGGCGAAGATCATGCGGATGGTGATTGTTGAAAATTTTATTCTTAAAATTAAGTACCGATAACATAAACTTATTAACATGGTTGTTTTCTGATGAATCTGGGGATACACTCAATAATCCCTGCTCACGGATTCCTTCCAAAATACTTGAGCTATATGAGTTCTGATGTGGTGGTGATGGTGGTGGTGGTGGTGATTGTTGCTGCTGTTGCTGTTGCCGTTGCCGTTGCCGTTGCCATTGCAATTGCCGTTGCTGCTGCTGCTGCCGTTGCTGCTGCTGCTGCTGCTGCTGTTGTTGTTGTTGTTGTTGTCGCTGTAGCTCCTCCTCTTCAAACTGTGTCAACGATTGGATCGACTTCTTGTGTTTCATAATATTGTTTGTCTTTTGCTGTATAATAGCATTCTCCTCATTTACTTGTTGATGAGTAGATTCGACATCTTCAAAGTTTTTCAACAAATTCAAGTTTAGTAAATTTGTATAGTGATTGTTAATCAATTCTGTATCAGGAACAATGTTGTAATAACAAGATAATTGGTACTGGTAAATATCAAATTTTTTATATGGAAAAACACTATTATTTGTGATGATAAATTGCAATTTTTTGGGGAATCTTTTCAAATATGTCAACGAATATTTATTCTCAACAAGACCGGTTTTCAAATCCACTTCTGTGAATAAACTATTTTCAAATTCAAAAAGATTCAAATTGTTTGAGTAAATACCTAAATGGTTATGGGGGAAGTAATCCATATCACTGAAGTCACTAGGGAATTGTATGGTATTTATATACTTTGATCTATTTGTTGTTGATATATCAGTCTCCAACGAAAGATAATAGTTATTGGAACTGGGGTCCTCCCCGTGCTGCTGCTGCTCTTGCTCTTGCTCTTGCTCGGCTTCTCTTTCCTCTTCCTCTTCAGCCTCAATTCTATACCTGATTCTCTTAAAAAACACTCTTGAGTTTGGTAAGTAGTCATTTGATACTATATAGTCAATAGTCTTTTTAGTTAATAAACTTGCGTTTTCAAAATACTTGCTCAATTGCAGTCTGTACTCTTCATTAGTTCTATTTTGTAAATGATCGAGGAAAGTTTGTACAATATGATTTGGTAAAATACAATATGAATGTTTTCGTAATCCACCAATTGGGGCAACGATCATCGAACATGAGTTTGTTGAGCTGGTGATAATCATTGCTGGGCTTTGAAGCAAGTTTTTATTCAAAAATATCACCGACATAAAATCATCATTCAAACTCTTTAAATTCAAGTATATATTGAAATTAAGGAGGATGTCATTAGTTGTTTCATTTGGTATTAAGCAGTGGCACAGGAAATTTCTCTTTAGCATGATGACTAAATCAAAATGTGTCTCTGGTGTTGTAGGTATCTGTTGAACATTTATTGCCGAGGGAATACTCGAGCCTTGTGCTGGCTCGCATTGTTTTTGTGGTTGTAGTTGTAGTTGTAGTTGTAGTTGTTTCTGTGATTGTGGTTGTGGTTGTGGTAGTATTATTGAGTTTTGATAATGGTCTGAAAAGGAATTAGTAGTTGATGCTAAACTGAAGAATGAGCTTTTTCTTCCTAATTTATCGTGATTGGAAAAGCCCTGTATGATATTTTGCTGTTCATATTTGATCAAACTGGTAAAGTTGGTTAGTTTTAAGGTTAACTGATTCAAATCGAAATTTATAAATGATTGCGGATTATCCACTAGATAAGTTTTCAAATCAAGTATAAATTTAGAAGCTTGTTGTTTATGCTGGTAGTACTTTAAGAGTTTCTTAAAAATCTTCTTTAATGCAATTTTTTGAATCAAGATGAATTTGGATAAGTCTCTGAGAATTATAGATAACTCTATTGATTGGTAGAGGAGCTCATCGAGTTCAATAAGTAAATGGTTTGTATCCATATCCTCGCTCTTCTCACCAAGTATATCATTATTCTTATCCTTGTTCTTTTCCCCGCCACTGTTTGTTTTTCTTCTCCTTGATCTGGTGAATTTTGAGTCTAGATACTCAAATTTCCTATTCAACTCACCATATTTTGTAAAAATGAATAGATTCACATAGTCAATATTGTCAATAAACGCTTGTCGTAGCAGCGATAAGTCCCCTGAGTTTTGTTTGGTAATTTGTTTAATTTTGTATTTCAAATCATTGTAGTCGATGTTGTAGTTTTTCCATTCTGGTATAGATAGGTGTTGTAAATTAACACCAAATTTCATCAATATCTAAGCCAGTGGATGTGGAAAGGAAGCTGAAAATGCAGATAAAAAAAGGAAGCTGGAGATGCAGATGAAAAAAGGAAGCTGGAGATGCAGATGTAGCTGGAATATATATGGAGTTTGTTTAAAAGATACAACTTGAATGAAAGCAAACAATGCGTGAAAAAACAAGTATCCGGTAACCACAGAGTTTCAACCGATACGGTTTATGAATGTAAACTAGAACGAGAGTAAGCGATCAAAAAAGATGGAGGGGAGCGAGCGACACGACAGATAAAGTAAGGGGCTTTTATATGAATTTATAAATTTTTCACTTTTGTTATCATTCGTATATTTTTCACTTTTCCCAAAAAAGAAAAAAACGCTACCAAGATCTATGTAGATAGATAAGGTCTTTAGGTTCTGGTTATAATCTGTTTCAAGACTGGTCTAGGTATAATATCGCAAAACTGTGACAGTGGTTGTTAATGATCTCACTAAAATTAGCTTTGGTTTTTTTTATTTTGGTTTGAATGAGAGAAAGAAGAGAATTGAAAATGGAATAGTTTAATCGATGATCCCCCTTATACCATGGAAAAATAGGAAGGATACATAATTTACTATTAGAAAGCATAAATTAATGATTTGGAAAATAAAGGAGTATAGTATAGAGCATCAAACTCCGGGTATTGTTATGATAATGTTTAGAGAAGCCATAGTGTTGTACATATCGCCTTGAATCTCGCCATCTTTGCATCCTAGACTTAGTCTCCCATCCAACAATATAAACGAGCTAAAACTGTTAAACCTTTGTCGTTTTCTAGAAGGATAATCTAAGAGCTGGTGTATGCAAAATGTAATATATATTTAATTACATAGCAAGTTTGCCGTTATGACATCATGTATAATGGTTTATTATGTAATGACTGTCATAGAGTATTATATCATTATTACGTAATACTATTCAAGGCTTTTAAAACAATATAAATAAGATTTAACATATTAGCATAAGTTTTGGGAGAAATGGAAGGGGAACACATTAAATTGTACTTTGCTAAACTCTTCCAACGACAATTTCTTAAACACTAATGGCGAAATTACATACGAATAGAATAAAGGTCCACCAAAGGACAAGGAATAGAAAAGAAAATGATATGGAGTTTTGGTATTTAAACCCAATTGGTTGATAATAGACATTGTATTTTTTGATGTTAACTTCTTTTAAACAGTAAAGAGTAAATGATATTGATTATATCGTTTATTAATTAAAGAGAAAAACATCACCTTATATAACCGCCGACTCTATATATAAGAAAAAATTAAAAGTGGGGGGGAAGGGGGGACTCGATTCAAAAAAAATCATTCCATTATCAACTTAAATTGCTACCGTGTTGATTGCCATCCAGTAAGCGAGTCGAAAGGTGAAAGGAAAGTAGTGTAAAGCGGACACTATCATATCACTATCGAGTGACACTATCGAGCAGAGCGAGATAGTGGAGCACAGTAAGTGCCACAGGCATCATCTCCACTATCGAGTAAACTATCGAGTAAACTATCGAGTAAACTATCGAGTAAACTATCGAGTAAACTATCGAGTAAACTATTGAGTAAACTATCGAGTAAACTATCGAGTAACACTATCGAGTGACACTATCGAGTGACACTATCGAGCAGAGCGAGATAGTGGAGCACAGTAAGTACCACAAACACTATCTCAACTATCTCGCTCTATTCGATAGTGGAGCACAGTAAGTGCCACTGACACCATCCACTATCGAGCATCACTATCTCGCTCTGTTCGATAGTGGAGCATAGTAAGTGCCACAGGCATCATCTCCACTATCTCGCTCTGCTCGATAATGGAGCAGCACTCTAAACTATATTATAAAATGCGACACATTGTACTAACACATCTATAACGCAGACTAGACTCACTCGCTCGTCTAGTCTCTCGTCTCCTGTCTCTTCTATACTTTTCCTCTTTCGACTATCGAGCACAGTTGGTTAGTCCATCTCTACTCTCTAGGCTGTTTAGTCTTGGTGGTAGGTGTACTTTACTTTTCTATTGTACTCTAATCCTGTACTGACACATCTATAGCGCAGTGTAGTCAGTGTTGCTCGATAGTGGGCAGCTAGTCAGTGTTGCTCGATAGTGGGCAGCTACAATGAGACTGCGTCATTTCTATTCCTTCCCACTTTCTATACATTTAACCTACAATGCATGTTGCTCGATATTGGGTAGCTAGTCAGTGTTGCCCGATAGTGGGCAACTAGTCAGTATTGCCCGATAGTGAGCAGCTAGTCAGTGTTGCTCCACTATCTCGCTCTGCTCGATAGTGGGCAGCTACAATGAGACTGAGTCATTTCTATTCCTTCCACTTTCTATACATCTAACCTACAATGCATCAATCATACTATAGATATTGCAAAGAGCTTGTTGTTTAATAGCATCCTGATAATTGAATATATCCTTCTCCATTAAACCAATCCTATCATCCCCGAACCACACACAATCACTTTGCAACCCAAGACTCATATCAATTACACCCTCTCCATCTGTAGTGCTCACTTTGGTCTTTTTCAAACTCGAAATTTGTTCATATTTTTTCGCAGCAATTTCACCATCATCAACAATTTCTTTTGATACTCCACACATCAAGGCAACATTCATTCCAAATGAACCAAGAGCAGTACCATCCTCTAGCTTATATAAAAAGGTAATTTCTCTTGAACTTTGATCAACAATAATTGCCATCCTCAAAGGCTTGATCTGTGGATGCGTTTTAAAGGCTAATCCTAAACTATTGTAGTGAGTTGCAAAAAAACCAATCGATTGTAAATGAGTTGCTAAATGATGCAATACTGACTCCGCAACAGCAAAACCATCACTGCTGGAACCACCTCTACCTAGTTCATCTAAGATCACTAAAGATCTGGATGTCGCATTACTAACAATCTTTTTAGTTTCCGATAATTCAACAAAAAAGGTCGATTTCCCTTGCATGATATTGTCATTGGCTCCAAGTCGAGTCATTATTCGGTCTACTGGAGTCAATTTTGCCAGCTCGGCGGGAATGTAGCATCCAATTTGACTCAATATAACAGCAAGAGCTGTGGTTCTCATAATAGTAGATTTACCGGCAGCATTGGCACCAGTCAATAACCCAAATCTCGGCTCATCGCCACCTAATTGAATATCGTTGGGAATGAACTCTTTTGCACCAGTAAAACATGGATGTCTCAACTCTTTAAATTGAATATGACCATACTCACTTTCAATAAATTCGGGACGACAGGACGGGTACCCAATGGTTCCAGAAACTTTTGTTAATGCTAATATGCAATCAATGTTTGCAATGCATATAATTACACTCATCCATGTTTCATAATGTAAGTCAAATTTGTCATACATCCTGAATTTTAAAGTATCACAAACCATCTTATGTAATTCTCGTTGTTCCATTAATTTTCTTGCCAACCTTTTCACTTCAGGTGACCAGAATCTTTTGACTTTAGAAGTAGCACCCATTGTTTCCCAATTGGAAGGAATGTGCTTGGTAAATCTTACCGGTATTTCAATAAGGTATATCTCCTTTCCAGAATCACGATAACAAATCTCTTGTGACCTAAACTCACGTTTGTATTCTCTTAAATGCTGATTTAACTTGTCTTCTAAATCTTTCATTTTGGCTTGCGAGTTATCAAATTCCTCGTCAACTCCCGTAGCTGGTACTATTATATCTGCTTTGGCTTCTTCTCTATCAAACGCATCCTCCCACTCTTTTATGTATCGATTCATCTCCTCCATAGGAAACTGACTCAAATATTTCTGAAGTACACCGCATTTGACTTCAACATATTCTGATAATTGACTTTGAAACTTAGCAATATTTTCAAAAGATTCAATAACTCTTAAAAAGTCCTTAAACTTTAGAGTCTTTTCATGTATGCGAGCAAGCAACCTTTCAAGGTCGGGTAGACGAGTCAAGGATGCTTGTAATATGTCTAGAAGATTTGATCCGTCTCCAAGTAAATAGTCGATTGAGTCATACCGAGCATTAATGTCTGGTATTTTCATCAACGGATGAAGCACCCATTTCTTCAAATGACGCTTACCAAAGGGGGTTGTAGCTTGGTTTATCAATTTCAAAAGTGTTCCTTGATCACCTCCATCATAATTGTTGTTTAAAATTTCCAAATTGTTTAAAGTTATACCATCCAATATCATATGCAAGTTTTCATTCATTGAAATTTTATAATGATTGATATTTCCAAGACTCATTATGCTCAGATCCAACTTTAATGTTTTCAAGTAAAAAAGTAGTCCTCCAAACGCATTAAAGGCAACATGGCAATTTTCCTTGAAATCAAGTAAAACTTTAGGATAATTTGAAAAATCGTCTAAATCTTCAGCTTTATAGTATTTTGACTTGACCAATTGCTCCAAAGTGATATCAACATCCCAAAATTCCGTTATTGGGTTCAAATAATTCCATATTTGATTATTGGAATGTGCACAAAATTTCAAAATCTTGGTTGCAATTTGACAAAGATTCCCCTTTTCACAAACTATTTCCTTTGGTTTTACTTGAGTTATCAATGTATCAAGCTTAGTACATTCTCCGTCATCATGGAGCTCTATCATGTTTAACTCTGACGTTGCAGTATCAACAAATGCCACTCCAAAGATTTTGCCTCCATCTTCACCAATTCCCTCTTTTATACTCAAACAATAAGTGGACAAATCATCAGTAATCATATCCAAATTGGTCAAAGTTCCCCCAGTTAATATACCTGTTAACTCTCTCTTGATGATTTTTTCTTCTTTGGAGCCTCCATCTCTCATTTCTTTTGCCAACATCGACTCTTTCTGATCAACTTTAGCTACTTTATATCCATGGCTAATAAACTCCTTGGCCCAATGCTCAAACGACATCTCAGGTATGCCTGCTAGTTTCATATTGGCTCTGCCGCCACCAGCAATTTTCAAATCAAATTCGGTATTTGCAATAATTGCATCATTTTCATACAATTCGTAAAACTTGCCCTTTTTGAAAAAGACAACCGTATTCCACATTTTCGATTTTATTTCCCAGTACTGCTTTTCAAACGCAGTAAACTTTGACCATGCAGATTGTGGAATGTAAAGAGTTCTCAGGTCGTAGTTGGCATCGTCTGGCGTTCTTTTCTCGGCATCTCTAATATTCACTAGCCAATGATATCTTTCCTCGTTTTCTTTAGCAAAGTTTTTCTTAGCGGGATTTAATGGTTTGGACAGGTATTGTTTAGGTTTATAGTCCTTAGAAGTGTACAACGAGGCGGCATTGAACTTTTCTATCAAGCGGTTGTTAGCACCACTACTGCCATCACTGCTATTGGATTCACTTGACAATAAAGAGGAATTCTTTGCCTTTGTCTTTGTCTCGGGTTTTCTTTTTTTTCTCAACTGCAGCCCTTCATCTTTGTCGTTGTCAATAACGAAATCATCCATATTTTTCGAAACATTACTATCAGAGTCAATGCCATCAGAGTCAACGCCATCGGAGTCAATGCCATCGGAGTCAACGCCATCGGAGTCATTGGGTTTGAAATCTGCCTCTTGATCACTATCGCTTTCAATGAGACCAATTCTTTTCCTTTTCCGTGTCCTGAATGTTTGAACCCCCTCCCCGTCGTCATCATCATCATAGTCTTCTTCTTCCGACTCGGCATAATTGATTTTCTTACTGATTCTACCACGACTCGTCGTCACTGGACTAGACTTGATACTCGATTCTCTGTCCTTGAAAGGTGTAGCATTCAAAGACCTTGTTGTTTTCTTGCTGGGAGTAATATAATCTCGGTCCAATTCCGGAGGTGAAGTAGCACTAGATGTAAAAGAATTGTTTAAATCAGATTTTCCTTCTGTATATAACTCATTCTCTTTATCACTCAGAAATTTGAGTCTCAGCAGGGGGTTAGGTGGCGACGATGACAATGGTAAACCTTTCTGTTCTGGAGTACCTCTGACCAGCTCCATATAAGATTTGGCTGGTATAGGCTTAAAGAAGGACATTAATGAAGTTTGCTGTTTTTGCTTAACTCCCGATGAACCTTCCTGACTAGCAGGCGACAGAGTGGACACTTTTCGCGGCGTAACAAGTTTACCCATTACCAATTAAAGGTTTTCTTTTCTCTAACTCTCTAACCAACTCTAAGAAGCTCAAGACAGCCTTGGTTCTTGGTAAAAGTTGTAATGATAAAAGTAATTGTATATTTACCATCCCATATTTTTCAATTTTAAAATCGCGTCTTTGCAATTTTTCCGATTTTTTATTTTTCCGTGTTTTTGTGTAAAGGGCCAAATTTTCATTTCGCAACCATTGGGAGATTGTAAAAGACATACCAAATATTGCAATATATATATATATAGATACATCTTTCCAACAGCTATCCTTCTTTCTTGTTTTGGTGTGTAGTAATGAGAGTGCATTTGTTTCGACTAGTTGTAATTTTCAGAGTATTGGCGTTGGTATTTGCAAATTTACCCAGCCACAATCCTTTGAAAGAAGAGATTCCTATATTTAAGATAACTGCTAAAACTCACGATAGGAATACCATAAGTGATTTTCTACAACAAGTTGCAAACAAGATTACTAATTCGCCTACAAACTTATCCAAGTTTAAGGCATGGTCTACTTCCTCGAACAACGGGGCGTCCTTAAATAATGATGCCGAAAAGCAATGCTTGGAAGATTCAAGTATAAAGTACTATATAAGATCATTGACATTAACTGATCAGATTTACGATGCCAGCGAGTGCAGGATCAACATGAACCCACGCATGCAGTCTATAATCCAGCCAACCTACAATGTCCATAATTTGATTTTAAGGGAAAATGATACAATTCAGACTCAGTTAAAGTATGTTTTAGTCGATGAGTTTAATAGGTATGAACAGTTTAAGGATTACAAGTTTAATGACTTTGAAAACTTAAACTACGACATCACTTGTTTGATAGATTACCAACAGTTGATGCAAGTTGAATTCAGGGAAACCTTGATTGAAGTGGGCTTGGAAAGACGCGTCGAGATTGATAATTCTTGCGAGTTTAATAAACTAAACCTCCAGTTTACAGGAACAGCAATTGACTATGTCACAAGCCATGTACCACTAAATGGAACTTTTTTTTGTAGAAAAGGTCGAAGCTCAACTTGTAATAGGAGCATCGCCGAGTCAAAAAATGCTAGATATAAGTTGCCCGATTAAAAGTATAGCATTCATATATATATATATATATATATATATATATTATCTTGTATGAAACTACTCTGATTCTTCTGCTACCGCTATCTTATCAGTGAGTCCTTTTCACATGGAACTTGACTATTTCGATTGCAGCAATAGAATCCTCTGCACTATCGTGCTCACCAACTTGAATATTCTTACTCAAATACTTAAATGCCAAATCCTTCAACAGCCACCGAAACGTGGGACTCGTGTCGAATTTTGGGTACAAAATAGATGTATCAATAATATTCTCATGAATTAGTCTCATAGCATTCATATCATTTTCCAACCCATGTCCAATCAATATCGTATCTTTATCCATAATAGATCCTAATTCTTGTATCAGTTGATTAAAACTAACAAATTCACCATTTATCTCTGATATACCAGAAAATCTCGTATTGAAATCAACAACCTCGCCGTAGGGTAGAACATAAGTATCCAAAACTGTTTTTTCGGTAAAATAATCCACTGCTGAGATTCTCATCAATTCAAATCCCTTTGTAGTATACCCCATTTCACAGTCAATACCCAAAACAGGATATTTACGCTTGCGCTTAAAGAGCTCAGTTGTATACTGATAGCTCAATAAGCTTTGTTTCTCCTCGGGTTTGTCTACTTGGAATACATGAAAGTTTGCCATGCCGCATGGTTTGCTATTATCGTCTTGTAGAGCGAGACAACAATCATATTGTCTAGTTTTGGTATTCGCCTTACGACGCAATTTGCCGTGATGGAATAAGCACAGAGTCAGTTCCATTTGCTTTGCTAGTTCAAATTCAGTTCCACAACGTCGGCATTCTCTCGTAAGAGATTTGTTTGCTTTACTCTGAGGAATCTTCATCACATATCCATACTTTTCCAATTTTGCCACTGGAATAATCATTTTCTTTAAAATTTTCAACTCCTGTTCATCATTTCTTGCGTTTATTTCTTGAGTTTTATTGAATTTCTCAGGATGTTGAAGCTTATAAACCTCATTCCTCAAGGATGACGCATAAGTTCGAAACGTAGTTTTTTTAGCTATTTCATATTCAATCTCGATGGCTTTAGCTTTGGGCGTTTTGAGCTTAGGGTCGTTTTTTAGTAGTATCTTAGCTATATACTCTATATGTTTCTTCCTCTCGGGCAAGGGAGCAGGCATAGTGTTTACTGTTTTAGGCAAAATGTATTTAACATCAACTTCAACTTGATCATCATTAGGCTTTACTCGTTTATTATTCAGCTGATGCTTCTTCTCCTCCTCTCCCTCCTCCTCCTCATCATCCAATTTCCTTTTTTGTTTATCTCTATCTATACTTTTAGCCGACTTTATCGGCTTCCCATCAATATCTTTTATTCTTGAAAGCATAATTGCATCTACATCTAAACTTTCCTTGTACAAAGACCATCCCATATTCCATATATAATTTTCTTTATTATACTCGCATTTGGTAGCGATAAAGAGAAGAAGTATTTTTGTTGCTTGGGGCCAAAAATAAAATTTCGCAGCCAATCGACACACACTATCGAGTAGAGCAAGGTAGTGGAACAGCATTGACTAGCGAGACCATCTCCACTATTGAGCAGAGCAAGGTAGTGGAGCAGCATTGACTAGTGACACTCTCTCGCTTCGCTCGATGACACTAACTGGCTTTGCTCAAGCTTTACGTCCGACACTATCGCGACAAAGCTAAGGAGTATACTCTATGCAAAATTTATATTAAATCTAAGTAGCTTTAGAAGAATCTATAAGAGGGCGACACTATCAAGTAGAGCAAGGTAGTGGAGCAGCATTGACTAGCGACACTCTCTCGCTTCGCTCGATGACACTCTCTCACTTCGCTCTAAGACACTATTTCGCTTCGCTCGATGACACTAACTCACTTCGCTCGATAGTGTCCTCCTCAATTTCCAATGCAAAGTTGATAATCAACCCCAATTTCCCCTGACCAACACCATCGAATCCATTTTGTTTAATCACCCAATTGACGTTATTCAAAGTATCGTTAGCGTATCTACTAACATCCAAGTCGAATTTAGGAATTGACACCAAATATTTCGAATCAGCAAGTTTCAAAAAATCAGTATCGAACCGGAAATCATAATTAGTATCCTTTTTAAATGTAAACTGGTTACATTTTTCCCTTGTATTGAAAAACTTTTTTCTACCATTTGAGTCTTTGGGAACAGTTTCCAACTCCTGATTCAAATTCTCTATATAATTCATTGGGTGCGATTTTTTATTCACAATGCCAGGTGGGTAAAACTTATTGATACCGATGTAACTGAAACTATTTAACGCCAACCCATACAAGAATGGCTTCTCGCTATAGATATCGCCCTTGACGGTATCGTTGATGAACCAATTAAAGAGTTTGAGACCAGTGTTCAATAAAGTGGTTGGAACATACTCCCTAATAGGATATGTAAAGTCGTTACCAAAATTCAACTCTCCGCCAGGAATATTTTCGCTTGGTGTGAACTCGACGCTTATTCTTAAATTAGGTGTAGGTTCATCTGGATCCTTACTCTTACTACTCTGGTTAAAGTCGATTTTTTCTCCATTGAGATACTGCTTGTCGTCTTCATTGTACAAGCTATTGGACAAGTGTTGTTTTGACCCATCGAAGCTTTTGATATTAATAAAAAGCCTAAACAACCCTATCTGCGAACTGATCTCCAATGGTTGATTAGTGTTCACGGGCACAATCTGAAAATTCGAATCATAGTTATCACTCGCTTTTATGAATAATCGTTTAACCACCATTGTCTTTTGCAGAGGAAACTAAAAAAGAAAAGAGGAAACTGGAAAAAAAAAAGAAGAACAAGGTTATCTCCCTTGAGTACAAGAACCATTTCCTTTTGGCCAACAATCAGCCTCGAGGAACAAATATATAGCAATTCCCATCGCCTTTATCAATATTTTCAGGGGGATCACAAAAAGATGAAATTTTCAATGCCGTGCGCTACCAATTACATTGTGTAAAACAGCAATCATCACGGGTTTCTAGGAACAAGGGAGTAGGAAAGACAAGTTTGCCAATTCATTCTTTTCAGCTTGATTGACTGATTGATTGATTGATTGATTGAGTTATTGTGTTCTGTCGATTTTTTTTTTCAGAATGTCGAGTTTTATTCTCAAATGGATAGTCAATCGTCTTTTGAAGGATAACCAATGGAACAAATTTGGTGTGGAAGATCCCTATTATGAGAATGTAGTAATTAAGGTGAAGAAAAATGGTGAAAAAAAGTACAAGAAAGTACCACGAAAGATTCCCGAGGGAGTCTCTCAAAACGATGGGCAGATATTAGAGATTTTCAAGAAACGCGCATATCGGTACGACTACTGGTTTCTGATATTTGGTGTGCTGTTTGGTTGGAGCAATATTGTTAGCATTGTACCGATAGTTGGCACAATTGTACAAACGTATTGGTCTTTAGGTCTATTGTGGCTTGCCAAGAAACTAGAGGATGGCTTACCATTGGACTTGCAATTGCTTTTCTTGTTGAATATTGTCATTGATTTTGCATTGGGGTTGGTACCAGTAATTGGTAGTTTGGTTGAGATTGGGTACAAGGGTAATTCAAGAAACTATTTGTTGTTGGAAAAACATTTAGTTCGCGTTGGAGAAAAGAATAGAGGTATTATCAGTGAAGGTGAGGTGAGGCCTGGTTTCATCAACGATAAGGTCCAGCCATTTGTCGACGAGGCTTATGATCAAAAGATCAAACCTTTTGTTGACGAGACATTGAAGCCCGAAGTTATCAAAGCAGGTGGCCAAATATTGGAACTATTAAACAGAAAACCAAGAAGCTCAAGTATATCTTCTGATGCTTCATCTATCGATAGAAAGAGTTCCGGTGCTTACACGACTCAAACCAGTAACACCACTGTTACTGCTTCAGTACCTCCCAGAGACGAAAAGACAATAAAGGAGAAAGTTGGTGGTAAACCACAAGATTTAACAAGTAACGACGATTCGGCATCCATTAGGAGCATCAAAAGTTTGAATGCAAAGAACAAATAATTTGACACTATCGAGCGAAGCGAGATAGTGGAGCAGTACTTTGTAGTAACACTGTGACTTGTTCTTTTTATGTATGTAATAGTGTATTTGATATTATCGAGCGAAACGAGATAGTGGAGCGGCACTTTGTAGTAACACTGAACGACAAAGAAAGCATCTGTAGTTGCCACTGCCAAAGGCACTGTCTAAGGCAGTACCAGTGAACAAAAGGGGGAGGGTTCTTCTGACCCTGTCAGTGCCGCAAGCAGAGCAAGATAGAGGAGCACACTGGCTACACCGACATTGCCTAGCGACATAAGAGTAGAGTGCAGGAGTAGTAGAGGAGTGGGAGCAGAAGTAGAGGAGTGGGAGCAGAATAGTAGAGGAGTAGAAGTAGAGGAGTGTGTGTAGTGTCGATACAAAGTGTTTCTCCACCATCTCGCTTCGCTCGATAGTGTCGTGCTACTAGAACAGAGGGTTCTTCTGCTACTGGCACTGCCTTTGGCACTGACAGTGCTACTGATATCGGCACTGCCACTGCCTTACAATTAAAGTGGGCCGCTGCGGCTGAAAAATTTATATTTTTTTTTTTTTTTTTTTTCATCTTTTCCTCTCATTACCTGAGAAAGTAATGAATGACAAGGAGATGGAGGACAATGTTGTGGATGAAGAAGTCGGTTCCGGTTCGAGTTTGAGTGCTTATCTAGAAGCCTGTCGAGAGGGGTATATGGACACAGTGGTTGAAATTCTAGGGGCGGGTTCGGTAAAGGTTAATGATACTTTAGACGATGGTATTACAGGATTGCATTGGGCGTGTATCAATAATCGATTAAAGTTGGTAAAATACTTGATTGAACAAGGTGCAGATCCCAACATAAAAGGGGGAGAGCTTAATGCCACGCCGCTCCATTGGGCTTGCAGACAAGGGCTAGTTTATGTTGTTGACTACCTCATATCCAATACTTTAGCCGATCCGAACTTGCGAGATTCCCAAGATTATAACGCATTGCACTTGGCGGTCCATAGCTCCAACATTATTTTAGTTGTTTATTTATTGTTCAGTTGCTGTGACGCTCGCAGTGAGAAGAAGATGTATGTGGATGATCCCGATAGCTCGAATCGGACTGCGTTGCATTGGGCTAGCTATCAAAATGATGTTTTTACAGTTTATGCATTACTCAAGTTTGGTGCAGATGTTAGTAAAGTCGATACTACCTTATTCACACCATTGCACTGGTCGTTTATGAGAGGCTACAAGAACGTGATGAAAGCTCTAGTGGAGGCAGGTTCGGATATCTTTGCTAAAAACGATCAAAACAAGGATAGTTTTGATGTGGCACAAGATATGGACTGTGTATATACTTGGAAAAAGGTATTGGTAGAGTGTGGAAGAGACCCAAAGCACAACTGGAGTTTAAAGAAGCAGTGGATTCTGCCAAAGACGGGGAAGATTATCACATTTTTGGCACCATACGTCATACTACCAATTTCATTAGCTATCTGCACCACGTCCAGTGGGTTGGCGATACCAAAGATATTTGCGTCCTTTACCGTTTTTGCATTTTGTATCTACCTTGTCAAGTTGTTCATCATTCCAACATATATATTAGCAAACAATCCATTGCCCAAATCCCCTATTCTTGCTGGAGTATTTTCCGCGACTGCCTTTTGGTGTATCATAGTGTGGCTATACAATATCCTACCGAAACTCATTTTCAAAAATTTCATTGCCAATTTACTTCTTTCCGCAGTGATTGTTATATTTGTATGGTCGTTTTTCAAAGCAATGTTTATCAATCCCGGGTTTGTTCCAATTCCAACGGATAATGCAATTATTCATCAACAGATCAAGGAATTGATATCGGAAGGCAAGTTTGACACCGACCATTTTTGTGTAAACACGTTTATTCGCAAACCATTGAGGTCAAAGTATTCTCGTCAAAACCAAAAGTTGGTTGCCCGATTTGATCATTATTGTCCTTGGGTTTACAACGAGGTTGGTGTTCGAAATCATAAACTTTTTATCACCTTTGTTTATGCATTAAACTTGGCCATTTTGATATTTACCTACTTGTCAATTGAGTATTTTGATGCAGCTAAAGATGGGTACGAATCAGATGACGAAGACAACAAAATGTTTTTTTGTTCATTAATTGGCGAGGATTTATGTTTTGGATATAACAACCATCAGTTCCATTTCAATTTGATGATTTGGTGTCTTTTACAGTATATCTGGATAGTGTTTTTATGTGTGGTGCAAACTTTTCAAATTTTGAAAGGATTAACCACTTGGGAATTCAGTTTGTTGAGCTTTCGCAACTCAAACAAACTCAATTATTCTACAATACCAACAGATATAGTCAATGATGCAAGCCAACCGGTAGAACCTTTCCCCAAAAGACGACATAGCGAGTTCCTGACGTGCTTGCACTTGTTGGGTATTGATCAGTTTATCTTGACTATCAAAATGACCATAGCTTCTTTGTTTTCCAAGGGGAAGCAGTTGGAGTATGATCCGCTCCATATTGCCATACCCACAGATTATGGATTAAAGCAGAATTGGCTAGATTTTTGGATCATTGGAGAGGTCAAGTGGAGAAACATTTTTTATTTGCCCATTGAAGGAGAAAACAATTTAAATGGACAAGTTGTTGATTATTACAAGCTATACGAGTATCCTTCTAAATCTTCAGAAGAGATAATATAAGTAGATTATATATATATAATAGACTCAATCAATGATACAGTTTATATACAGACTCAATCAATGATACAGTTTGTATACAGACTCAATCAATGATACAGTTTATAGACATAGACACAATCAATGATACAGAGTTTATAGAACCACAAATGCATATCAAATTAAAGCAGTCAGACTAAGTTTATCACCAGACAAACTGTACCCTGACAGCCATAATTTTCTCTCGAGAAAAAAACAACAGCATATCTTGGTTGGTCGACAAAACAACATAAGGTTTACAAACTTGTCAGACAGCCACTTACACCCACCTAAATGCAGTTTCCCCCAAAGAGGCATAAAGTAAATAGGTAAAGATCATTGCTCCTTTACATCCTTTAAGAAAAAAAGGAATGATTTACAAGGCTAAAATAATTAGATAACTAGATTATAAAAAATCATAGTTAAGCAAAAATATTGTTTTCCTCACTTTGAGGGTGTAAGGGTAATCGTAACTCATCAACCAAGTTGGATTCAGTGGCTCTTTTGAAGAGTCAAAGAGGGACGTCTACTATAGAAATGATCCTATGAAGTACGTCGACAAAGAAAGAAAAGAAGAAAAAAAAGGAATCGAAATTGGATGAGATGAGATGGAATCTTGATGCCCTTTTATACTTTTCTTTTTCGCTCACGAAACCTTTGTAATAAAATACACGACCTACAAAATATAGGTAGCAGGCGTGTAGATTGCAAAGGAAGAGATGTTCAAATGGAACCAGTAACCTAGATTGAACACAAAGCAAGCATGTTACATAGAATTACGCTATCGAGCAAAGCGAGATGGTGGAACAACACTTTGCTACAACTATCCACTTTGCACTTGCCATGAGTGACACTATCGAGCAGAGCGAGATAGTGGAACATTACTAGCCGCCACCGACACAAGGTTCACTACTAGCTGGTAAACTATTAACTTGTAGACAACTAGCTTGCAATCTATTAACTTGTAGACAACTATCTTGTAAACTATTAGCTTGTACAACTAGCTGGTTAACTATTAACTTGTAGACAACTAGCTGGTTAACTATTAGCTTGGTAGCTTTGCCTATTTGATCGAAATTTTTCACTTTTTCGCCCCGGTACACGCACAAATTTTCTTCAATTTTTTTTTTCTTCTTCTTCTTCGTCGTCGTCGACGATTGAAAAATCAAGGATTGAAAGATTCAACAACTTTAATAAATTAGAGCTAATCAAAAACATGTCAATTGAAGAGATCCCTCAAGGAGCAGACGTCGAAGTTATCCCAAACAAGAATGAGAAGAAAGCCAAAGAGCTTATTAAAAAGCTTGGTTTGAAGCAAATCAAGGGATTTTCTAGAGTAACATTCAAACAAAGAGGAAACTTAATTTATGCTATTGATTCACCAGAGGTTTACAGATCTGCAGCTGGTACATATGTTGTTTTCGGTGAGGCTAAAGTCGATGATATGAATCAGAGAATCGCTGAGGCCCAACAAGCCCAACAGGCCCAACAGGCCCAACAAGAAGCATTGAAAAAGGCTGCTTCTTCTGCTGCTGCTGGTGCCGGTGCCGGTGCTGAGGGTGATGAAAAGTCAGCAGAAGCAATCAATGCTGATATGTCGAAGTTGGCTTTAGATGCAGAAGCGGGAAACAAAGCTGAAGAAGAGGAAGATGAACAAATCGACGAGAGCGAGTTTGATCCAAAGGATATCTCGTTGATTGTCGAGCAAACTCATGTTTCTAGAGCTAAAGCAGTTAAGGCATTAAAGAAACATGACGGGGATATGGTCAATGCTCTTATGGAATTATCTTGAGATTTTAGGTAGATAAGAGGTAATTAAAAAAAGATTGTTTTTTACAGCCTGTATCTGACTTTATCAAACGAGCTCTCTATTGGGTAAACACTCTTTTCCTCACTATATATTGTTGATTTCTTATTCCTCTTTGGTTGCAGCTTTGGGGTCAGTAGTAGTTGATGCAATCGGCTCAGGCGTAAGGTCCTTCTGTTGCAGCAAATCCTTTGACGTCTCGTCCCCCTTTTGCAGCAAACCCTTTGACGTCTCGTCCCCCTTTTGCAGCAAATCCTTTGACGTCTCGTCCCCCTTTTGCAGCAAATCCTTTGACGTCTCGTCCCCCTTTTGCAGCAAATCCTTTGACGTCTCGTCCCCCTTTTGCAACGCTGATTTTTCTTCACTGTTTTCTTTCCCACTTGGTTGTTGCTGTTGCGCTTCTTGTGGCTGTTGATCCTGTCCAAATAGCATTCCTTTACCATTCAATTTTCCACATTTCCAACACTGATATTTGACCGACTGAGGATCTTCGCAATGAGGCGGTGCCAATCCATTATGAGCAAAACAATGGCTACAAATTAAAGCATATCTATGCTCAATAGCCTCTGAATTATCAGCACCTATTAACATATCTAATAACCTTTCCTGAAATGACCTATGCTGTGGTGATACTGGTGCTGGTAATGGGGCTGTTGCTGATGGCGTATTTTTGGGTGTGATTGCCTGTTGTTGTATATTGGTTTTAGGATCCTTCATATTCATCTCTTTTAAAGCCTGTGCTCTCAATTTGCCTGACTTTGTTCCATCCAATGCCTTATTTTGAGGCGTCTCTTTTTGCCTTTGCTGCTGTTGCTGCTGCTGAAGCAATGCGTTCACAGGGGCAACTTTTTCGTCACTATATTTGCTAAGCAATTCATTAGTTGCGTTGAAATTGGTAATCTTCTTCAACTCTTCAATCTTGCCCAGATGTTTCTTTTTCAACGCCCCCAAATGCCGCTCTTTGCCATTGATCAAATATCCATATATGAAATTTATTGCTTTTCTCAACAAAATCAGAAAAAAGGGGAATCCAAGAAGTAAATAAAAGTTAAATCTATTTTGACCTTTGATGAACCTTTGAACCTTATTTGCTGCTTGAATCTCTCTAGGAATGCTCACAAAACAGTACACCAAAATCAAAAAATATCCTAGTATAACATATAGCTGAAGTTTCTTATTCACTGATCTTCGACGAATGGCAAGTTTGTTCAATTGTTGTCTTGTTTTATTTATGTTTCCAGCAATGACATTTAGCTCTTTTTCAAATTTATCGGCATCAAAACCATGGCTGTTGCCACCCGAAAATAAACTAAACACACCCATGCTTCTTCAAAGCCCAAGTGAAAACCTCCTTTTCCTCAATAATCTACTTGTTTCACCTTGTGCTGAATTGAATATTTAAAATTCAGACTAAAAATTTTATGGTAAAAATGTTAACGAGGCGGCGCCGCTACACGCGCGGCTCACACAACAGTAAACAGAACACGTGATAATATATGCTACCAAATGTATCATATTTAACGATTATTTGGGTGCAAATTGACTACAACTAGGTGAGACATGGAGACACTATCGAGCAGAGCGAGATAGTGTCGATAGTGTTACTGGTCAGAAACACTATCGAGCAGAGCGAGATAGTGTCGATAGTGTCGCTAGTCAGGGCCGGTCCACAATCGAGCAGAGACACTATCGAGAAGAGACACAATTGAGCAGAGACACTATCGAGCAGAGCGAGATAGTGTCGATAGTGTTACTAGTCAGTGCTGGTCCACAATTGAAAAGAAACACTATTCAGTGGTGGTACACTATCGAGCGGAGACACTAGTTAGTGCTGCTCCACTATCGAGCAGAGACACTATTCAGTGGTGGTCCACAATCGAGCAAAGACACTATTCAGTGGTGCTCCACTATCGAGCAGAGACACTAGTTAGTGCTGCTCCACAATCGAGCAGAGACACTATTCAGTGCTGGTCCACTATCGAGCAGAACGAGATAGTGTTTCTCGATAGTGGAGCAATACTTAGTAGCTTGTCACAACACTATCTCGCTTTGCTCGATAGTGTTGTATTAAGCTAGTAAGTACTACTCCACTATCTCGCTCTGCTCAATAGTGTCACTGCCCGATAGTGTTTCTCGACAGTGGAGCAACACTCAGTAACTTGTTGCAACACTATCTCGCTCTGCTCGACAGTGGAGCAACACTCAGTAGCTTGTTGCAACACTATCTCGCTCTGCTCGATAGTGTTGGTCGATAGTGTTGTTCCATAGTGTGCCGAAACGGATCGTGTAAAAACAAGTGGACATTTTTTTTCGTGCTCAAATCCTCCATCTTAAAGATTACCATTGGAATTATTCGGCTTGTTTTGTCAAGGAGGTTCAACGAAGCAACGACAGGTTTCTTGCTGTATAAGGAGAGGTTCTAATTAGAGACAGCTTGATTTGTTGTTGTGGTGTCAACTATATTGCCAAAAAAAAAGCAGATTATCAAATAGTGAAAAATATTGCTATAATGCCATATACGGTAGGTAATAAGAGAATCATTTTGAGCGAGGACCTCTCAGAATCGGACCAAAAGTTGCTTTTGAAACACTCAAAAGTGTTTCGATACTGTTTGAACAATGCCTGTATTAAATTCTTGCTCAACTTGAAGAAAATCATCCACTTGTATTCAGATATAATGATCATTTATTCCACCTTGTTAAACAAAATCCCCCATTATGATGATATCACACATATGACTAGTCGATGTAAAACAAACTTATTACGGTTGGAGGATGATTTCAACGATTTCTTTGGCCATGGAATTAGGAACGCATATGACTCAAGCTGCGATAATAGCGACGAACACAAGTTTGATTTAGTAGCAAATTGGTGTGACCAAAACTACGAAAAGGGGATGAAGCCCGGTTTCCAGCTCTGGCTCAAGGCCTCGATGGCTATGTTTGAGCAGATTGATAAGACCTTGTTATGTATTGAATTGTTTTTTTCCTCCTATACCAATTTGAAGAAACTACTTATCCCGTTTTTGAAGGAGCAAACTAGCTCCCTTCAACACTCATTGAAGCTAGTTGACCATTATCTCCAGGTTCCATTAATTGTTGATGATATTTCCAAAAATGAGTATGATCAGCAAGTATTTCAAAACTTGAAAGAGATTGAAAAAATAACTAGTGGAATAGAGAAAGAGGCGGGTAATTTGAATACGGCATTTGTCACATTTGACGGTTCATTGTCAATGTATACCAATATACTATTGGGCAAAGCTATACTTAAGAGATATATTGAGTCGCGATATTGCCAATTGATCAAGAGAAGAGAAATATGCTGTCAGGCCTCTGAACGTGTGGTTAGTATCCCATTGACAGAGGACAAGCCATGTTATAACCCTTCGATGAAATTCCTTGGGAAAACTCTAACTTACTTTGTTATGGCGATTATGATGTTGGTTATTATTGTTTTCTACAGGTTCTATAAAATTATATTTGAGACTTGACACTATCGACACGACACTATCGACACTATCGAGCGAAGTGAGATAGTGGAGCAGCACTGACTGTCACCGACACTATCGACACTATCGAGCGAAGTGAGATAGTGGAGCAGCACTGACTGTCACCGACACTATCGACACTATCGACACTATCGCTTCGCTCAGTAGGATAGGATGTGTTTATGCAAAATAGGATGTGTTTATGCAAATCGGTTCTGATTGCTCTAATGATCTGATTGACCTAATTGCTCTATTCTACTAGATCCACTCTACTGGTCCTACAAGTATTACCAGATTTTCTCTATTGACTCAGCTGGCCATATAGTCTCTATTGACTCCACGGGCTGTATAGGCTCCACTGGCCATATAATTTCTATTAAATCTACTGATTCTACTCTACAGACTCTACCCATTTGCTTTACTCACTCTACTAGCTCAACTCTGCTAGCTCTACTCTACTGGCCCTACTGACTCTACCGACTCCATTGACTGTATAAGCTCCATAGGCTCTAAAGGTTCTATTGACTCTACAGGCTCCATAGGCTCCATAGGCTCCATAGGCTTCACAGATTCTATTGACTCCATTGACTCTACAGGCTCTATTAACTTTATTAGGTTCTACTCTACAGACTCTACCCGTTTGCTTTACTCGCCCTAGTAGGTTCTACTCTAGTAGGTTCTACTCTAGTAGGTTCTACTCTACTGGAATTACTCGTTTGGCCCACTAACGTCATTACACTGGCTCACTGGCACTACTGTTATCACTCTTTTGGCACCTCCCCTAGCAACGTAGCCCCACCCAGTTCGTGCCTGCCTCAGCTTTTTGACAGGCGAAAAAAAAAACCCCAAAATCTAAAACAAGAGTTTCTCAACTGGGGTTACTCAACTGGGATTTACTCTACTGAGGTTACTCTACTAGGATCTACTCTACTGAGGTTACTCTACTAGGATCTACTCTACTGGGGTTACTCTACT